AGACGGAAAGGACCCCCATTGTCTGACTTCGATCACGCCTAGAAATGCTCAGAATCATGACCTTCAGGTTGAACCATTGGAAGCTGAAACTCGCTGAGCTCCGAAGGGTGGCTTCCTGGGGGCATCGCACGATCCGGTTCCCCCAAAAAGCGATCATCGACCCATCGACCGTTGGCTTTTTAAATTCTTCTTGGGTTCCCAAGAGGTCAACACTTTTTTGATCTGACTCCTTGGGAAACTGAGCCTGGACACTGAAAAAGCGCTTTGCGAGCCCTTTGTGAGGCCCGAATGCATAAGCACCTGTCAACAAAAACTCAAGTACCTGGTGGGTACCTGAACGAGGTCCGGCATGAATGCAGGCGTACCCGTTTCAGCTTTGTGGTTGTGAGTCTGTTTGATTGGTGGTGCTTCCCTGAATGGGAGAGCGCTCGAATCTGCTTGCCCACCACTCCAAGCCACTCATTCGAGGGAATCTGACACCCGATGAGCTGGCACATTTGAAACGTGTTGGCTGATGTCTTCATTATTTTCTCACTTGTCCAAAGCTTCGAGCTTTTGGGTTCCCCATGTTGGGCAACTTGTTGTCAAGGTTCCAGCAGGTTGAGCTTTTATTCCCATTCCCAGGGCCTTTGGGCAACAAAAAGCTTTAGCCGAGGGCCAAGACGTGTCTTAACTTCTTCTGGCTTTCGCCACTCAGATTGTTGCCAGATGCTTGACATTTGGGTCGTTGGGTGCCACAACGCACCCAATATCCTGGAGATTGTCGCGATGCAAAGAAGGCAACACCGCAATATGAAGCCCCGAAGCAGGGAATCGATTTCCGGAATTTTGGGCATTAGCCAATCCCTCACCCAACATCACTACACATGTGTATTCCTTGACCAACGCTTGCAACAACTGAGTCTTTGGGTTGGCTTCCACTTTCCACAGCGAAACACGCAACAGTACCCTGGCCTCCCTATCACGAAAGCTGACAGAAAGTCCTTTTAAGAGGATCTTCCAAGGACATCTTCACTTCATGAGTGGATTGGCCAAACACAGTCACAAATGCTCGTTCCATCACTTATCATGGTTCTCTCAAAAGTATATCTCTGGAGTCTCCATGACCCTGAAAAATTGGGGTGTGGCGTCCCTTTATTTTCGGTAGATGACCCCATTGGACCTATTTTGGGTAGATGACCCCATCTTTCGATGGTCAGAAGAAGTTTTTTTTCGGTAAAGTTCAGGTCTCTCCGACTCTGAGAACTGGGAACTGGGCCGGGTCGACCCGACCGCCCCACCGAATCGGATCTCCTGATCTCGGTGTACTGGTTGAGGTCCTGGCGATTCCACTAACATCGACTAACCCTTCAAAGCGTTGGACCACGTGGCTCTGTGTTTCGAGGGTACCCAGTTTGGGGAGGCTTTCAAAGGAAACCCAAAGGAAGACCACAACATGGGGAGTTTTTCTATTTTGACAAATGCCCAAATGGGTTCCTGCCGGTTGCTTCACACATTCCGTGCAAGAAACACGCTTGTCAGAACCTATGTCCGGGTCAAGTACAAACTGTTTCTGATGAACTCACGCAGACAACAAAGGCGTATGTGTAGATCTGCAATAGATTTCCAAGAAAAGCCGCTCCCAGTGGATCCCAATGCTAAACCCCGATTCATAAACCCCTAATTGACTAATAGGGGAGTGTCCCCCTTTTAGTTGCTATTAATTGAATAAGTTTATTGATGCAGGGTCAATTGCGTATCGTAGGTATAACCAGTCCCATGTTCCTTTCATTTTTGAAGACTTGCTCTCTTCTGCTATGCAGGGATTTGGAATCTCTGGGCCTTTTTTGAATTGAGGAAACTCCGTCTCACCTATATCGATCTTTGGGGACTCAAACAACTGCCGACTCTTTGCGACCTCTATCTTCAAGAAGGCCAAATGGCAAGCCCTGGTTTTATGCAACAAAATGCATAGGACTTCCGTCAGGAGTCTGAAGTCATACCTCAGTTGCACCAAGCCCCCTGAAAGAAACAGTCAACCTTTTCTAGGTCCTCCAGTAGGGAGGTAAGAATAAGGGTACCCTTTTTTCTGCTGTCTATTTTAGTAGGGGAACCCTCCCCCAAAAAAGGAGGGTAAGAAAGCACCTAGCTGGGGGACCTAGTTTTGCGGGGCCATGAGCAAACCTGGGAACCCAAGCGGAAAGTAAAAAGTCACAGGTCGATGCGCCCGCGGGGCGGATCGTGCGATACTCCCTGCAAAAGGAAACCAATCAGTCACGCCCAGGACTTTCTGGGAGGCCTCCCATATCGAGGTCGCAATTGATTTTGCGTGAAACAAATACGCCTCCAGCTTACTGCTTTACATATATACAACAAGTCGCAAAAAGGTTCGTGCCCTTAACACATGTGACTCTCGGACAAAATGCTTCTTTCCCCAAGCGGGCATGAACAAATTGGCTGCGCCCCCTGGTTTTTGTGAAACCAGCAAGCATTTTGGCAGTTGCTCCGTGCCTGTGGCGGCTCCGCCCATCTCCCTCAATCCCCCTCAAGCCCAGCAAACTCGCGCGTATTATGGGGTGCGCTCTCAATCTTATACGTGTTATGAATCCCTTCTAGATGAAGATTATGGTGGGCCAAAAGTGGTTTCTCTTTGACTTCCATTTCAATTTATCTGGGCAAAATAAAAACAATGCTCTATAGGATCTTCCAATCCGCCCCCCCCCCCCCCTCTCCCCGTGTCCGATGCATTCGATGCTCCTGCTCCGCGAGGTCACCCGCCCTGCCGATGCCCGACTCGTCGATGCCGCCGAAGGGGGCGTTGCGGATGAACTCGCAGTGTTTGTTCACCCAAACGGTGCCCGCCTCTCCGAACAGGGCAAACGGGGCGCGGGCTTCGGGCTTCGCGCTGCTTTCCCCCACGGAAAAGCCAGCGGCCCGGTTTTCACCCGAAAAACGACGGTTGGATCCAACATGGCGACAAAGGTTTACACTAGACCAGGGAGGAACCGAGCCACCGACTACAAAGGCCACCGGGAATCCATGCTGGGCTCTGTGCGGTTTTTCAGCCACCAAGAATCGTGGGTCCTGGGTTCAGGGTTTAGGGCGGGGGGAAGTCGGGGTTGTACAGGGTTCCAGTAGGATACAGTCAAATAAAAAAGAAGTAGCCAAGTAACTCAACTAGGTCCTCCAGTAGAGAGGCTAGAATAAGGGTACCCTTTTTCTTCTGTAGTCTATTTTAGTAGGGGAACCCACCCCCAAAAAGTGTAAAAGGGCACTACTCGGGGACCTAGTCAAGGAGACCCGCAAGTCGAAAAATGGCTGGCTTGGACAGTCCGCCGTTGAACCGGGAAAGCCGGTGCCTTCCGGGCTTTTGCTTCGGGTTTTTTTACGATTGTGTTTCCTCAAATACATCCACAAACCGTCTGGGGTTGTGCAAAGTTTCTTCGGAGTGCATCCAAAAACCAGCATTTTTTTAAGGACCAACAAATCAGCTGGCAAACACGCTGCTCGAACTGGCGAATCTGTTGGGCAGGCACTGGTGTTTCCTCTTCCGGCAGCCCCAAGACCCTCAAGGCTTGCCTCAAGCGGCTTGCATCGCTCCGAATGTGGAAAAATGAGCCCCGGGTTCTTGAGGGGGGGACATGTAAAGCCAATCCGAAGCATCCGTTTTGAGGAAACTTCAAAGATCGAGCCTCCACCTGCCAGCAAAAAACATATGCCCGTCAATTGTTCGCATGCCCGCGCCTTAAGCTGGTTCGCAATCTCATTGGCCTGCGCGCACTTTGGTTGCAGCTTGTCTAAATCAACTTACCAATCCAGAGGGTCCAAGGCTTTGGGTTTTTTCAGGTACCAAGATTCCGAGTCTACACAACAAACCTACTGTTCATGTACCTCCTCAAATGTGTTTAAAAATTAAATCAACCCAAAAAAAAGGCAATGGTTCCCTTGGTACCTCAGCTTTGCGTACAGGATCTTCTTTTTGGCGAATGCCCGACAGGACCAAACACAAAACCGTAAATGTGGGGCGGTCGGGGCACGGATTTTACTCGGATTACAATTTGGCTTCAGAAGACGTTTCAGAAAAGATGCTCAGATGCTGTTCGATATGTCGCCTACCTGGACTCTCAAACTACCCTCCAAAATGGGAAGTCGCCCCAATCATTTTGAGGAAACACCCATCTTAAAGGATAGTTCGAGGGTCCGGGTACACAAAATTAGTGTTCAGTTGGAGACCCCGGAGGCGACGCAGATTCTCTCGACCAAATTCTCGTCGCTTCTGGTTGCCACTTAAAAGCTCCCCCCCAGACCAACTTGGGGAGTGAGCAAGTCACCAATCTGAAGTATGTGGGAACCCTGAAGAAAAGCAGGTGCATGGCTGACTATTGCGACACCCCTTGGCGAGCTGTTGCTTTCTTGTATAAATATGATTTGAGCTCAACACGATCCCTCTTGTTGAAAGTGTGGTGTCTTGAAAAGATGGATGTGAGAATGGACACAGGGCCACCGTTGTTCAAAACATAACGCAAACGAGCTGGGGCCTCATGAATCAATCATGGAAGAGTTCCACTTCCTGGTGGGATTCCTCCGGCGAAATCGGATCGCCCCACCGGACTGCCCGCAAAAAGGCTCATCGATCAGAACCGCAAGGCTCAAAGCTTCTTGGAAGGAGCTCAATGTCACGTCCCGTAGGGCTCCTTTCACCCGGAAACAAACATCGACAAGCTGAGAGAACTCCAAGCAGCCGGTTGCGTCACTCCAAGAATCTTGTGGGACCAGAGCAAGAATCTAAGAAGGGTTCCATTAAAAACCACCTCAGCTTTTGCCCAGCGATAAAAACGTCTCAGACTATGGTCCATATGGGTGTACTTTCTTTTTGAGGGTACCCTTGTTTGGGGCCTTTAAAGGAACCAAAAGGATTTTGGGGAGTCCAACCTTAAAAGAGACGAGAAACCCACACATGTGTCACATGTTGTGAAGCTCAAAATGCAAAGAATCATTTTAAAGTTGCAAGGACATCTGCGGTGACCTATCTGGGTTGATAGGCGGAAAAAAAGGTCTCGTACATGAGTAACTGGGCGATGTGTCCGGACTCCCGGATTGCTCCAAGAAAACCAAAGGACGTCAACACAAATTAGGGGTTTTGTCTCAAAATTCTCTGACCCCCCAAATGGTTGGTCTCCCTTTGCTGGGCTTCATTTATTGGGTTTGGCTGCTCACTTGTCCAAAGCAACTCGACCTTTTCATCTTCTGCGGGACCGATTCTGGTCTATGTTTACTTCAGGTTCCAGAAAAATATACTCTCTCATTTCCAAGCCCCTTTGGGCAAGTGATATAAGCGACATGAAAACCTCACCTTCGGGCGGCCCTCTCACCGGAAAAAACCGGCTGCGGCTCCGCGTGCCTTGTCCAGATCGCTGCTCCAAATGGACGCCCCGAGGCCATACTTGGTGGAGTTCGCACGCAGGATGGCCTCCTCGTCCTCCTGCGCGCTAGGCACATGGAGTTAGCTGGTGTTCGTGAAGAAGCAAACTATAGGTCCTCCGGTAGAGAGGTTAGAATTTTCGGGCACCCTCTTTACGGTAGTCAATTTTAGTAGGGACACCCTCCCAACCAAAAAAGAAACGGTCAAAGGGCACTGGGGGATCCAGCAAACTTGGGGGAAGGGAGAAGTGAGTGGAAAAACCTGGCCTCCGTTGAAACTGCTGCGGCCTTATGTATGAAATACTATGAACTACGGGGTCCCTGCAGTTCCAGAATCACGCCAAAGACAAGTCAACCATTCTTGTTGTCTTCCCTACCTTCTTTGCAGTAGTCTTCCCATGGCGTGGCAAGATATGCTTGAACAAGCAGACCTTGGTCCTCTTGCAAGACCAATCTTTTCGGACTAGTGGCTCGTAACATCAAGAAGGGTTGTTCCAACAATATTCATATTGAATGGGCATGTGTCAAAATAGGATTTCGGACCCCCCTAATGGGTGGCTTCCTTGTGGTTTCCCTTTAAAACAAAGTAAGAAATGACAGGCTGATGGTTTTTGATCTCAAGGTCCCGCAGCGAATCGGTGAGGGCAAAGAACCAGCCTGCGATTCTAGCTGGTTCTTTGGGCACCTTCGAAATTCAGGGGAGTGGCCCCCCGATTTTTTTTCGTCTCGGCATCTGGTCAGGCCTGAGAAACCAATCCCCAGACTGTGGGGTGAGGGAAAAAGGGCACCTCCGCGGCTTCAGACCAGGAACTCCCTTGGGTCCCCCTTCGTAATCTTACAAGGGCTACAAGTGGTACAACAGGTGCCCGACTTGCTGACTTACCAGCTTCATAAACCAAGTAGTTCGGACACTCCAAGTAGAGGATGGCTACGCCGGAGCTCGCAACCCCCTAAACTCAAACGCCCGGTGGGCGTGGGACAGCTTGAAAAGCTGGAGCTCGCAACCCCTGGCCCCCCGGCCTCACACAAATTTAGATGTCGTTAAACTCGGGGACCCTTGTTGGTTTCCATGTAAATAAACCTCAAAAACAAGGGAAACCAGGAGGACAACAAGGAAAAAGAAACGTAACCCGCTGGTTGAGTTGGCTGATTATGATTTGATGTTTAGGGAACCGCCTCAAAAGTGCTTGGCAGACATAACCCCCCCCCAAAAAAAAAAAATATGTCCACCAAAGGGTTCTCTATTAACACAACTTCATTTTTCGAAGACTTCCCCAGCGGGAGGCGCCAGCGGTGGAGCGACCAACGCGCAGGAACCCGCCTGGTACTTCATCACCGGCACCACGGGCCCGAACTGCTCCTCATCCACCAGGCGAGTGCCCTGGCGAGTCGGTTTTCGGCTTTGACAGTGAAGGAAATGGTATTTTCACAGGAGGCATTTATGTGGTTTCCCTTATCACTGATCACAAACAAAAAGGTATACCAACTCAAAACAAGCAGTAGAGCCTCCCGGAAAAAATGAGAAACATATTTCCAGTGCTAGATTCCCTTTGAAACCAACAGGGGCAAATACAACATATTCTTAAAGTGGAAGGTTGCAAAAAGGAGTAGTAGTGGCCGGGTGCGTCCTGATTCACATTGCTTAAAGGGAAACATGAAGGTTCGACTCTCTGGTCAACTTACAAGACTGTAATTCCAAAACTGGGAGTAGGGGAACCCATTTTTCTGGGTCGGTCTACCCTCAATCGGCGAGATGGGAAATTGGTGAGCTTCAGAAATACAACGTGTTATTTACGTTCGAGGGCATTCTCCTTGAAAGGATCGAACACAGAGACACATGGGACTCGACGCGCATAAAGAAAAACTACCAAGCCCCCACAGGAGGCAAGTCTTTGGGTTAGCTTCAGGTCTTTGGCACCCAACCCCCGGAAAGCCTTTGCCGGACCATTGGCACCCACCTCTTTGCCGAGAGCGAAGTTTTCCGAGCCCAAGACTTGGGTACTCCGGACGTACGCCCCAAGCAGCTTGCTGTTCATACCCCTCTTGGGGGTATATACCTCTGTAGGTAGCCAGGAAAGCCCAGGGTATCAGGGATGTAAAATTAAAATTCCAGCTGGAGTATTTCAGCCTCCAATTTCTGATTCAGCCGCCCGCGTCTTTCGAGTTCCGGAGTTCTTCCGCGACTCCAAAGACCTCTGAAGGTCAAAAGTAGGCCATCCAGGCCTTGATGAAGCCCCTTGGCGGTCTAGGCCGTAGGCCATCCAAAAGATCCAAACTCCAAACTCTCCGAAGCAACCTGGAGAATCTGCGTTACCTTTCTGGTCGCCACAACTCCGACCCGTGCGGAAACCGGGTGGTGTGTTGCCCCTGGGCTTGGTCGCTTCTCCAAACCACAGAACAAAAACAAAAACAACACAATATGTTCCCCAGTACCAAAAAGCGGCTGTTGTACTGCATCTAACACCAAGAAGCACGTTCTTGAACAGGCCTGAGAAATTGAAATAACAACTACGTGGAGTCTCCATCCCAATTTTTGTGTGGGTCATGGAGACCCCAGGTAGCCCAAAAAATCCCAGTGCTTGCAGGGAACATTGCCAGCGGCAACTATCCCTAGGCTCCCGAGCTTCCCAAGAAACACACCCATTCAACTGGGATCGTCTTCCCTGGCAGCACAAGGGATAAACTGTTGTTGCTCCTTTGAGGGTGGTCCAAAGGCTTCTGAACCCGAAACTCCTCCTTTGGTAGGTTCCCTTGAAGACCCTCTTCGGAATGTTTTTTTCATCCCCAAACGCAGGGTGTTGTTGAATTGCCAGCAGAAACAATGCCAACAGGGAAACGATAAGTCAACAGAACAGGCCGGGGGATAGCACAAACAGGATCCGAATCTGGAAAAGGGTAACCTGAAAAGACGGTCGCGCCTCTTTGACACCCACGACAATCGTGGGCAGGTAGAACAAGCCAGTGTTGGAGCCTGGGCGGAAGGGCGTCCAAGGCCCGCTGTTTGCTGAAATGGAGTTTCAAGCCAACAACTAGGTCCTCCAGTAGAGAGGCTAGAATAAGGGTACCCTTTTTTTCTGTAGTCTATTTTAGTAGGGGAACCCTCCCGCAAAAAAGACTTCAAAACAGATGCGGTTGTTTTTTGTTTTTTTAATGTTTTTTCGTCCGGGCGAGTAAAATGTCGTAGCTTACAGCATTGTCTCGCGAAATTGACGCATTTTACACTTGCCCGTCAACATCCCCAGCATCGTGTTCAACATCCCCCGCATGTCCGACCAACATCCATAGCATCACCAACAAATCGTGTGACGGGGTCAAAGTAGCGGCAGAAGTGATGATTTGAATAGGGTGCAATTAAATCTCTGCAAAAAGTCTAAAAAGTAGCGGGGGGGTTGGGGGGGGGGGGCAGCCCCCCCATGATGTTCGAAGAATTGATGATTCAACTAGGGGTGCAATTAACTAAATCTCTGCAGAAAATCTAAAACTTAGAGGGGGGGTTGGGGGGGGCGGCAGCCCCCCCCATGATGTCGGAAGAAGTGATGATTCAAGCAGGGGTGCAATGATTCAAGGCAGCGGGAGGGTTGGCGGGGGTGGCTTCCCCTATGATGTTCGAAGAAATGCATACATACAGACATACATGGACTACACAGATTACCTAAAATGTCGTATTGTGCAGCATGTTCTTGCGAAATTGGACGCTCGAAAAAGTGATGATTCAAACAGGGGTGCAATTTAATCTCTACAAGAAATCTAAAAGTAACGGGGGGGAGGCGGCAACCACCCCCCCATGATGTTTGAAGAAGAGTTGATTCAAATAGTGGTGCAATTGCTCTGCAAACAATCTAAACAGTAGCGGGTGGGTTGGGGGGGGGGGGTCCCCCCCCATGATGTCCGAAGAAGTGATTCAAATAGGGTGGTGGTGATGCTGATGATGCGGGAAGCCAAATCCAAAAACCAATAGCCAAAAAGCCCGAACGACAGGGCTGTGGGGAATGACCACTTCTGTGATTCCACAAAAAGGGCTTCCCAAATGTATCACAGAAGTGGGGAGAAACCCCTTGATCCCACAACCCTGAGCCCGAAGGATGCGAAAAGCCAAAGCCGCCAAAAGCCGCCAAAAGCCGCATAAACCAGCGAAAAGCCGCAAAAGCCAAAACGCCAGGAATGCAGAGGATGCGAAAAGCCAAAAAGCCACCAAAAGCCGCAAACCAGCAAAACGCCGAAAAGCCCAAAAGCCCAGAAGCCGACAAGCCAAGAAGCCGAAAAGCCAAAAAGCCAAGAAGCCAAGAAGCCAAAAAGCCAAGAAGCCCAGAAGCCCAGAAGCCAAGAAGCGAAGAAGCCAAGAAGCCAAGAAGCCAAGAAGCCAAGAAGCCAAAAAGCCAAGAAGCCAAGAAGCCAAAAGCGAAATATATATATATATAACTAAAATAGATACCCCTCCAAAAATTAAAAGGGCACTGGGGGACCTGACAAATCAAGGGCACTTCGCTTTTCAACCTCCTCATGCGTAATCTACTTCAGCTTAGTTGGTGCCCCTCCCCCAATTGGATCCTTGAAAATAGCAGGGGTTCAAGCAAACCAATCCAACCGTCCGGCTGCACAAGGGGCCCGTTTCTGAGCCATCCTCAATCCAGCTTTTCACGTCACACTTGAGTACAAATCACTTCCTGCGTGGCACACACACAGGTCCAAAGTGCTTGTCTATGCGCACTCAATCAAACGGCCCAAGACTCAGCCCCAAACAGTTTGGCCTTGGTATCAACTGGGATTCATCCGGATTGCTGTGTCCCAGACCCCAAGTGGCCCAGGATTCTCTGGATCAATCTGAAGCTGACATTAGTTGCTTGTCCTAAGGCAGGTCGGGACATGCAGTCACAATGACCAAACAATTCAGGGAACACGGGCGGTGGTTAACAAAAGCACTGACAAAAACACATGAACATCTTCATCAACCCCAAGATCTGGACAGTTGCCATAAATGTTGGGCCCTTAACATGTCAGGTTGACCCCAAAGCCAAGTTTCTTGGGGAATAGAATCGGAACCTTGGGTTCTCCACTTGCTGGTTCGATAGGTCGGGAATCAATTTTGGGGTTTCGAGAATGACACTAAACTCAAAGGCAACCACAAGCGACGAGATTCGGGCCGACGTCCAACTCCGGGACCCGAACAAGACCCAGCAAGACGGGAGTCACTCGCCTTTTTGTTGATGTCTTTAAGGGAAACCAACAGAAGAGCCACAGTCGGGGCCTGGGGTATGGATTTGGAACCCATTCTCCGCCCGAATCGGTTCAACAGAAGTATGATCTTTACTATAGGGAAACTCACCCAACATGGGCAACCAAACGGTGATGTTTAAAACCACCCTTGAACATAGGTGACCTTTTGGATTCCCTGGCAAGTGGAATTGACAAGGGGAACTTTATCTATTTCTAGCCAACCAGCCTAAAAAGGACACCTCTGCCCTTGAAGGAATCGAAAGATCAACGTCCCACCGCACCCATCGATTGAGCACCCCGCTGACATCTCCGGGAGGGCCTGCAGTGGCCTGATCCATCCCGGCACGGAAAGCCACAAAGGTTCTGAGTTCGATTTGTCCAGCCAGTAGGTTGGTGTCCCATGACCCTTGTGGGTTTTAGGGAAATCGAAAGGATGCCAAGCGCATTTAATAGGAGGCCGACAATTGTTTGGCAACACTTTTGTAAGGTAGTCTTCTCACTGCGAGATAGCACAATTGCGCAAAGCCCAATAAAGAGAGTACGTAATATTGGTCAACGTTCAACGTCTTCTTGATTCATCAATTTAGTCAAGGGCAAAGATAAGGAGGATATGCTAGCATTAGATTAGTCAATACCACTGAGTACTAAGGGGTGTTTTCGGCATGCAACACTATATTCTAAACTCTGAGGAAGGGCAACCGGGCCCACCCCTAATTAGCACTATGCGTTTGGCAGAACCGTTTTCCCGCACAACAAATCCATAGACTCCAACTCCAGCCCAAAGTAGACTTTATCCAACAAGCGGATATGTCCTCAATCCCTCAAAGTGGCCACCTGTACCTCCCGCAAACCACCTTGTCCCCCGGAACCGCTCAATCTGAGGTTCAGCTGAGGCGGGAGGGGGAGAGTAGCATGACCATGGGTACCCATGCACAAATTGTTTCACCAACTCCAAAGGGCAACTTACATCATAGCCTTTCAGTTCGCAAGCTATCGTTGCTCACTGGTTCACACTTTCTTGGGGTTCGATGGGGGACATTGCCGAGCAGGAATCGACTGCTTGAATCTATTCACATTTCTAAATAGGTCCGTGCAAATCTGGCCCACGCCCCAAAATTTAATGCAGAGGACCACCAAGGAGGCGCATGATGAATGCCTGGCAGCAGGGTATGTCTCCAAATAGAAGAACCCCGCGCTTCCAACTAGATTACCAACCTACACCTCCGCAGGGTCGGAATGTGCCGGCGTCAAATCACTCTGTTTTGAGGTGCTGTTACAGTTGAACGAAAACAACAAAAGCAAGTTGATCTAAGTGGTTCACATTTTGATTCGGGAAGAGTCAGCTTCTTTGTGCCATCCCAACATAAATCTGGAACCCGAATTCAAAACAAATTCCTCTGGGGATACGGTCGCACCAGAGACAATGCTAGGACCTTCAGTTGACAGTCAATGATTGGGGGGAGGCACACCTCCCCCCCTCCAAAAAAAACACGTTTGGTGCAGGAGGCATAGCTCCATGTTAGTCGCAATTGGGTGCGTCTGGCCTTAGGGGCATCCCCGCCCAACAAAAAAAAGAAGCTTTTATCTTGTTTCCCTTTACAACCACAAACAAAAGGTACCAACTCAAAAAAGAAGCAGCAAAGCGGTGAACTTTTTGTGGGTTCAATCCGGAAAGGAAAAACAACTTGAAGTCAACCAACAAGTTCAAGTCTAAAGATCCGACCCAACAGCGATCAACTGGGCTGCCCTCAGATCCCGCGCCGAAAGTTTAACTCGCAGTGGGTTAAATGGAGACTACCACTAAACACTCAAAGGCTAAGAAGCTAAGGAACCGGATGGCTGGGAGCCACCAAGGAATGGTCCCCAAGGCGTTTGGGCCGATGTTCAAGGGAAAGACGAGGGCTTAGCATCTTCTTGGTTTTCGCTTTTGAAGGGGTTTCATCCCCTCCAAAAAGAATGGAAAGCAGAAAAGGGGACATGAAACCTGGCGAAAGAGTCACTGCTCGCTGAGGCCAAGCTGCGCCGCCGCCGCAGAGAACGCGGCCACCGCTCCGGCGCGCGTCCTGTGCCGAAGGGTTCGACCCGGATTTGAGAGGTTAGAATAAGAGTACCCGATTCTTTTTTGCTGTCTATTTTTGGTAGGGGAACCCTCCCCCAAGAAAGGGTAAAAGGGCACCTGTTGGACTTTACTTTTACATCACATAACCATTTCCCAACCTCAATTACATCAACGCACATTTTCGCACCTAAAGAACCAATTGGGTCAATTGTTTTTTCTTCTAAATCTATCACAAACATCTCCCAAACTCGTTGGTTTCCTGTCGCTTCCGATCCAGTGGACAGCTTTGGGAAGCCCACTGGGCTCCGGAACCTATCCGGAGAAACGAAGTCCAGTGATGCAAAGGGAAAAGCAAACCTCCCAAATTGACAAAAACACTGGACAGTTCCTACTTGGGAAAAAAACAAACAAAATGGCCTCATGGCTGTTCTGCGTGGGTGGCTTCCTTTTTCACTTCAACCATGGTTCTTTCCAAAAAAGAACCTTTCCCCTTGTTTGCGGGGTTTCTGGCAGGAAGGGATCTCTGGAAGAAATACAAATTTGTTGCTAGAAACGCAAATGCAGCTCACTGTCCGAGTGCCCCAAAGAAAGCAACTTGCTGGCAGGGTTGCTCTCGTGGCCCTAGCACTCCGCAAAATTGAGACGGGAAAACACAGCATGGGCACTCTCGGAGGTATGGGATAACCCTAAAAGCAGTCAGACCCATTCAAGGCAACTTATCTTTTCTAGCCCTCGTCATTTTCCCTCCGACCCAGGAATCGCTCGCGAACTACAAGGGCCTAAATAAGAAAATGGGGTGGTGGAGCACTTCATCACCAAATTTCGCCATGACTTTATAGGCTCCATGTCTCTGTGTAGTAGATCCTCAGGCAAGTACTCAATTGGTGGATTGATGGCTTGGGAACTGAACTGCGGTCGTTATCTTGATTGTTTCTGGTGGTTATCAAAGTCAGAAAATGGGGTGGTTTCCCTTTAACCCACCACTTAGGGGGTGACTTTGATCATGGTAAAACAATGAAGCCAGTGAATACATGTTTGTTCAGGGTGAATGGGACACTACCAAGCCACCATGAATTGGTGCATGAGTGGTAGGGCTTTATCACCTGTCATCCTTATCTCTCATCCCATCTGTCTTCTCGCATATAGACCTACCTGGAGTCTCCATGACCCTTAAAAAAATGGGGTCATTACCCAAAATGATGGGGTCATGGTCATGGACCCATTTTTTGTTTCTAGGCTTTTTTAAGGGTCATGGAGGCTCCAGGTGGAATCCAAATGAGATTGAAGCCAAAGCGCCAAGCAATCAATCCAAACCACCGGTCCTGAGGGGAAGTTGACAAGAAAAGACTTGGGTGTGAACCCGGTGTGGGTGTACATCACTTAGGTGCAGCGCTGCGGGAAAAGTCCACTTCTGTGATACCAGAAAACGGCCTGAAACCCCAAGACGAACCCGCCGGACAAACGGGGGAGATTCCCAAAAGCATCGCAGAAGTGGGGGAAATACACCCCGAGTGATCCGACAAGCCTGCTTAGGTGGGGATTCATGTCCATGCGACGCGGCCCCCTCTCTCTCCTCCACGAGCTGCGTGACGTGTTTCAGCTGCACCGCGCTTGCCTCGCGCCGACGCTTCTCTGGGCCAAGGGATGATTTCGGGACCCGGAAAGTCGCACGTGGTAGTACTTTGCCAAAATCCTCCATGTGATCTTGGCAGGGTACCCCAAAAAACTGCCAAAGGAAACACCAATTCCATTTCAGGATCCTCATGTTCAGACAATGGCGCGACAGGGAATCGTGAGGTCCGAAAAGAACCAAGGGTGAACAGCATGGTGAAATCATGCCCCATGCGAATGGCTGGGCTACAAGTTCCGTTTTTTGTTCTGCCCCGTGAATCGCCAAACACAAAAGCAGAAAGTCCAGCAACTGGAGAAGTCAGCAGGGTTTCCTCGAAGGATCCACAAACATGCTTTGAAGATCCGCTAAAATGAGCTGGCACCAGTGTTTTCTGGTATCTTGCCAACTGGGTGTCTCTAAATGAGGGAAGCACAAAAATGCAACTTGTTCCAGTGCTTTCCCTTTGAACTCCCAAAAAAGGTTCGACGGGAATGTCTGGTGAGCACTCTAATCGTAGGACCCGGCGCATGGGAGGTGAGCATAAGCTGCATGCGGGTGTCTTGATGGGACGGGTTGGACCCTCCAAAAGAGACACAGCCACATTTGGGTGGGAATTTCAATGAGGGGCCGGAAATGGCGGACATCAAATTTAGGTCACCCGCCATTTGGGAGGTTCCCCATGAAAATTCATAGCCATTTGCGCCTGGCTCGGTCTCCTTCCTCAATGCTGGTTGGTCTGCGTCAAACAAATCACCACGGCCGAGTACCTCATGGTGTATTGGGAGACCATGGCCAAGGGTGGCACCGATCTTCACCCAGCCGAGTGTCCAGTGGGACAGTGAATTGACTGCTCCAATGAAGTCGGAAAAACGCTGCGGCGGCACGGAGAAGGCCAGCTGGGGCGGTGAGGGTGTGATCTCCCCAAACGCGAAGTAAGGACCCAGTAGGAGGCGATCATGGTCTTGCTCGGGGACAGCAATGCCCAACAGCATGAAGGTCGTGTGGCCAAGCGGCTGCACGAGCACCCGTGGCCTTCCTATGACCGTTAGTCTGAAATTTCAGGGTTGTTCCTCCAAAAATGGGGTATAGCGAACAACTCTGAAAAACCATTTTCCTCCTTATACCTCTTGATCATGCAGGCGACAAGTACGTCATTCAGAAGGTTGAGCCCTACTTGCCAAATGTCAGCCTGGGATTCCGGGACTCTCCGGAGAGGTACAAATCAGGGAGAATTGGGATTCCTCGGGCAAAATGGACACCCCTTTTGCACACGGCAGGTTCCACTGAGCGGCGGGGCCAGTGCCAGCACTGAGGATTGCGGCTCTCACTCAGCTCCTGTGGCTGAAAACAATCTAGCACCCTCAAGTGGTTTGGATTGGTGCTTAAGGAGCTAGGGAACCTTCCCATCTCAAGATCCTGGTTCAAATCCAAATCCAAACCACCTATCAGAGAATCCAAGCAATCAGTGCTGGCCTGAAATAACTTATAACTTATTTTCAGTTGTCCTCTTCTTGGTGGTTTGGATTGGTGGTTAAGGGCAGTTTCCCACTTGCCCTCTACAAGAATCAGGGACCCCTTCAAATCCCAACCACCGGGCTGCAAAAAAACCAACTAGGGGCTTGGCCGTGAGCCGGAAAAAGAAAACACAACATGCGTCAAAAGTGGTACCCGCATGCAGGCGGGCGGAAGGCGCGCCTCAGGTTTACTCGGTTGCGAAATCTGCGAAGCCCTGCTTAAAGTGACTCACCTTTAGTGGCTTAATACGGAAAACCCATTCGTTGGCAAAAAGTTGTCCTAAGATCCAAGCAACATGCACCAAAGTTTAGTCAGCCTTTCACTTTAGAATACATATCCTTTTCTGAGGAGACCCAGCCTCCAAAACAAGAATGAACTACGGCTGGTTTGCTTTGGTTTTTCTGTAAACCACAAAACGTGTAAACCACAAAACGTGCAAGCCACAAAAAGAAGAAGAACCGCTTTGCGGTATTGATCCTCAACCATAATCCCTTCCCCGTGGCCGTTTCTGAAGCGCTCCTTAAAGCGACCCTCCGGGCGGCTATTCCCTATAAGGGGTCGGAACTAAGCAACATGTGTGTTTGAAACAAAGGAACCAGTGAAAACACCTTCTTGGGACTTTTCTACTGTGACTTGCTTTGCCCGATCCACTCAGGAACCGGGCTTGGTACGTTTGGTCGCCTTTTTGGGAACCTAGCTCCTTTTGGTCTTGAAAAGGGTGGTTCTCGTTACCTACTTCGCCTGGGCCCTAATTAACAGGACCCCTCGCCTCTACACCCCTGTTTTGGCTCCAAGGCAGAACCCAGGGGCCCCTTTTTCCACACTTCCACGCACCTCCGAAAATCCATCGCTAAAAAATTCGGGGGCAGCGCCACCCCCGACCGCCTCCGACGTGGCCGAGGGCCCGGGCCAGCGGCCCGAGCTCCGTGGCGGCGCTCAGCCCGTTGCCCAGCACCGCGCGCCGCGCCCGCCGCACGAAGGCCTCCCGAAGCGAGGCGAGGCGAAAAGCTTCGGGCACGAGGCGGGGTGTTCCAAGCGCCCCGGTTTTGGGGAGTGGTTCTTCTTCTTTTTTTTCGTTGGAAGCCAAACAGGAACCAGCGATTTTGTGGGGTCCCCAAAAAAATATGAGTCACGATCAAAACCCGGGTAGAAAGTTAGTATAAAGGATGAGTGCAGCCAGAAAAAGGCAGCCACCGCCTTTCAATTTCCTGGATTATGAGTCAGCTGATTGCTATCGTTGCTATGGGGTCGATGGGCCAAAAAAAAGGGCTGGAGTGGTTGGGAGAAGCTTTTAGTGATTCTAGTGAGGGCTTCGGAGAATTCCAGTGGCTACCACCTGCTTCTCTCACCGCCTTGGACTTTTGTTCAGCCCAAAGGATCGAAGGGCACGGGGTTGTGCATCCCAGTCCTCAGTGGGAACTCAACACGGGTTCGGGAAATGAACCGGAACCAGCACCCTCCGACTACTTAGCATTAGTTCCGCAAATAAAATAAAGGCCGGTAGATCCCCGATCTAGGAAACAAATGCTTATACCCTGGGGGGTAAAAGGCTTTTAAAACAAAGGCCGTTACATGAACATCCTTTGTTTGACTAGCTGGGGGATGGGGGCCTGGGTGGAATTCCAACTTTACATCGTCAGCAACAAGTCTTTTCCACACCAAGCTAGACTTGCGAAGGCCTTAACGTTAAAGCAGCACATTATTCAGCAGGACCTTTTCAATCCCAGCAGAAAACAACGCCAGCCAGGACGAATGTGAGTGGTTTTTCGCCCTGCCAAATTTCACGGCGTTTCCCCGTCTTTCACTGCAAAAAAGGGCGTTCACGCCAATTTCACGGTATTTTCACGCTTTTCCCTTTGGCGATTTCCCATTGCTAAGCCCATGATCAGTGTCTTTAGAAATCCCACAAAGTTGAAGACCTTGAGCATTGACCAGCTTCAACATGTCTACATGGTTTTCGCGAGGCTTTGGAAAGCGTACTTTTCAGCCACAAGCACTGCAAAGCCAAGTGGCCACTAATGCGGCCAACACAAAACGCTCAACCCAATTAAAAGCGTCCAGCTTGCAAACAAAGGACGTTCCCCACATTTCACGGCCGCTTCCTAATGGCCTTTCTTTTTAAGGCCCCCGAACCCCAGGGTATATTTTATATCATATCCCCACACCTTTTCAAGCTCACGGGGTCACACGCAGGTGACACGCAGTGACACGCAGGTGACACGGGGTGCAACGCAGGCTACACAGGCGACACGGGGTGACGCACAGGTGACGCACAGGTGACGCACAGGTGACACGGGGCGACACGGGGGCGACACGGGGGCGACACGGGGTGACATTCTAAAACTACTGTTGATGACGATGATGATGATGATGAGGTGACCCAACCTGACTCAGGGTTGTGGGGCACAAAAAGTAAAAAACGACCACGGCGCCAGAACGCACAAGTGGTAAGACACGGGAAGCGTCTTCACGAGTACAAGAAGAAGCCAGGCCAGGGACTAGAAATCAATAAGGGGAATCCCGCGGGGAATTCGCCTTAGCAATGGCAATGCCTAAGGCACACGCCGCAACTTGACATCGAGCCCGTTGCATGGGGGAAGGGTGAGCATGCAGGACAACTACTGTGTTGTTCTAGCATACTGACACGGGGGCGACACGGGGGCAACACGCAGGTGACACGGGGTGACACCGGGTCGACACGGAGTGACAAGCAGGTGGCATGGGGTGACAAGGGGTGACACGGGGTCGACACGGGGTGACATGCAAGTGACACGTGACACGCTGTGAGGCGCTTGCTGGACTTGCTGCTTGATTGCTGCCACCCCTACTATGGCACCTCCCTGTTGTAAGCAGTAGATAGCTGGGCATCCCGCAAATAAAATTATTTATCTACTGCCCCCTGGGCAGTAGTCGGAGGGTGCTGCAAGGGGATTCCCTGGAAGGAAACCATCTGGATGGTTCACTTCGTGGTCATTCCCTCATTCCCCGGAGAAGAGAGAGGTCGAATGAGAACGCGCGTGCTTCAGAGTGGTCATGGTGGATACAGCTCGGACATGCAAGTGCGTGGACGCGTGTGCGTGGATGCAGCTTTGACATGAAGCAGTAAAATAGGTAAACCTTCCACGGCGGCGAACGGCCCGTTCGCGTTGTTCAACCAACACTCTTCTTGCACAGCCGGGCAAAGCAGCCACAGCAGCGCCAGTGCATAGGAGGCTAGTCAGCACTGCACCGAGACCTTATTGTCATCTCCGCAGGTCCAGTTTGCATCTAATCAAAGTCGGGTTGGAGCGCAAGGATGCAACACCTTTTGGCACACCTCTTCAGGCCTGAACCGGTCAACCAGGTCCCTCTCTCGCTGGGCATCCTCTGACAAGCCCACTCAGGCCCTCGCGAGGTTGCCGACAACAGCATGAAACCCTGAGAACCAGCAATTTGTTTCCCGAAACAAATGATGGTCCCTTGATAGTTTCATTGGAGTGGTAACAAAAGGAACTGAAGGCATTCCTTGGTACCCTCAGGAAAGTGGCCCCATGATTTTGCCACTATCAAAGCCACAGGGACAGGTCTCACAAACTTTGATAACCCCGAAGAAATGGTCAAAAAATGATGAAGCAAGAGGAAACAAATGGAAAACGGATGCCACTGAACAACTGAGGTACCCAATCTTTCATGCTGCTGGGGATCAGGAACCACAGAAAGCCCAAAGAGCCTACATCACTGGTTCCATCGATCTCCCGTCCACCCAGCGTTTTTGGTTCCCGAATGTTGGGGCGGAGGGAAACCAACGAGCAACACCATCCCAGAAGGGTCAAAGCCCAATCCCTCGCCCCCCCAAGAGAAAAAAGGAAACTGCTGACTGTAGATTTACAAAATCACAAAATCGCACTAGGATGGATCAAACCCTACTTTTAATTCAGATAGTGCCGGATCTTGTCCACTGAATTTGGGGCACAAAAGCGGAATCAGGACTCGAAGCCTGATTCCTTTCGAGCGGGCAAGGCCTCCACAAACTTGTCGTAGATTTTCTCCTGCGATCAGCGGTCCATCGAAACCATCCCAAAAGGGATGCTAGGTGTGTAATTTGCCGTCTGAAAAATGAAGGAGACTACCCATCCCCTGTTGTTTTCCCCTTTGGGTAAATGAAACATTATGGTTGCTTAACACTCAGGATGGCAACGGCGAGGTTGTTTCCGCACACTTGGGCCCACAGCCCGATTGCATTTGAGCCTAGGTTGTTGCTGAGGAAATAGAGCGATTCCTTCTGCGTGCAAGATGAGAAAAATCCTTCAGACCTCAAAGGTGGTTTCCCACTGATGCTGACTGTATAGTCCTCCTTTTCCTGGGTCCGAAGTTGCCTTGATGGCTATTCCCCGCTGCCCAACACGTGAAAAGCGGTTCGCATGGGGAGATCCATCCATGTTCAACCAAGTTTAAGGTTAAAGATCCAACCCAATAGCATTCAAGTCGTAAGGCGTTCGAACCACTGGAGGGAAACCACCAACCAATCCATTGCTCAATCCTTAGGTGTGGAGTATGTTTTGGCCGAGATTCCGACAAAAGGGGGGGTCCTTGGCAAGTCATACTCAAACCCTAGTATCAAAACGGTAGCGAAAAACCAAGCCTAAAAGGACCCCAACATGGGTGGGTGTCCTTTTCGTTTCCCTTCAAAAGCCAACCAGAAGGGTACCCTCACGTAAGACATACTCATTTTTGGTTCAGACATAGAAACCTTCATCTACCCGGATCGGTTTTGGCAGCCCAAGCGAGACCTGGTCAAACTCCGAAGTCCTGCACGTAGATGCGCTTCGCAGCACAGCAGGTCTGGCCATTGTTGAAGAACCTCAAGGTCCAACCCTCCGCACAAACCAGGAGGGTGTGCTCCCAACGCCAGCCAGGATTTTGAGCAAACACCAATCCTAGCAGAACTTTGGTGAGTCTGCCATATCCCCTCTGACCCCCCCAAAGCGAAGTTCCACGGGATTTTCAGCGCCGTGGCCCAGCTCCGCCCCCTGTCCTCAGATCCCGTCCTCAGATCCTCAGATCCTCAGATGCCCCTGTGCCAAGTAGTGGGTGAAAGTTTGGGGTGGTTTGGGGTCCTGGTTCATGGTGAAGGGGTGGCTTAGGGTTGATTTAGGGCTGGTTTAGGACCCAAAACCCCAGGGGTGCGGGCCAAGCGCAAGCAAGCCAGCGCTTTCCGGGCAGCCCGGGAGCACAGGAAGCGGGCAGCTCGCTTCAGCGAGCGAGCGAATAGATGTGAATCCAAAGGGCATGGGTATGTGTCAGAGACGACCTGACAATTTTTGGGGGTGCTGGCTGGGAACCACCAAGTTTCCCTTTCAATGCGCAAAACCAAGCAGGTGGGAACGCCGTTTCTTGTGATAGGGAACCCCGTTGATAGCCCTGAGCACAAGGTTGATCACCTTTTGCCACGTGCTTGCGAAACAACATAGCAACAAGAAGAGCCATAACAGGCACACCAAAGACCAGCCACGCTGGTAGTTGGTTTCTATGAGACATCCCTACCAAAGGAAAGACGGTCGGTCTAAGATCTGATTCTCCAGTTTTGTTCAATCCTTGTTCTCAATCGGGGGTTGCTCAAAATAGACGAGTTCACTCATTTTAGGTCAAGCCTTTCTCACAAGCTGAGCTTCTCAAACGAAACAGAGTTGACCTACAATAGAGATGACCAAACAGAAGCCCCGAGCGCCGGGAAAGCTCCGAGCCCCGGGCGCTCCCTTGAAGAGGCCCTCAGCGGTGGCCTCCACATCAGCGTCCTCTCGGACGATCCTCGGAGTCGGGTCGAGTCGGCCCCCTGTCGAGTGCTTCGTAAGTTGTCCCCCAAATATGTGTCTTTCACATTGCTTGCCAGCTGAATGTTCAATTTCAACAGGGGGCCCTTTGGTGGACATCATTTAGGTACGGATTCATGCGCACCAACCACTTTTGAGGTGGTTTCCCCTTGAAATCATGGCCAAATTGACCTACCCTTAAAACAACATCGTGCTTTGGAGAGCAACACTTCCCCGTTCTGACAAGGATTCCGCCCTTCTTTCCAAAGCAAACAAAGGAAAGGGTTGGTTGCGACAAGACCGATGGTTCAACAGAATGGGGAATCAACCCCTAGACCTTTCTGTGTACCAACAGTTCCCAATTGTTGACCCTGGCTCCATCAACCTTCCAAAGCATTAGGGGCATTCCCCCCAAAAAGTACAGGAACTCTCCTGTCCATCAATCTTCGATCAACGGGATCCGCCTATGAGGCTCCGACTGTCAGCACCATATTGCGTATCCACCATGTCCCAACCTCGAAATTGACCAAAGATTTCAGCAAATTTGGACCGCTCCTGTATGGGCACGTCATTTTTGAGGGCAGCCTTCCCGGGCTTGGGTTATGGGGAAAACAAGGAAAGCTCGTTAAATGTTTGGTTTCCAATTCGGAGCGGCTTAGCTTGCAGACAAACCCATATATTCCTCAATCTAAACTTTGGACTAGATCGAACCGTACCAATCCGAGAAAACCCTTGAAACAACTGAATTCCAACCACTAAACCAGAGTTTCCCACCCCTCTTACCCCAACATAGCAGGAAGGTCACTTTCCGCTTCAAAGGATCCTCTAGGTGCCAACGTGGGAAGGGGGCACAGGGTGAATTCAAAGGACATCCTCACAATAACCCTCTCACTGGTTCAACAGCCCCAGTGTGGAGAACTCCTCAACTCGGCACCTCACGTTGTCGTTGGAGAACAAGCACAACGCATTACACGCCCGGCTTCGGAACCCTCAAGCAAGTAGCAAAACACCGGTCTTTACTTAAAAACATACTAAACAAATACTTATGACTCCGCACTGAAAAAAAAGACAAACACTTGATCCTTATGACTCCGCCCAGGTTCCCCAATCCATCGATCTGAGCCGAGGAGCGCTGGGTCATTGCCTGCGAAGCGAGAAATTTTGCGCCCCGTCGGATTTTGCGGTGGCCAGGCGAGTGATTTTGTTCGACTACCTGGAGTCTCCATGACCCTTTAAAAATGGGTTCATGACTCCATTATTTTGGGTAATGACCCCATTTGTTAAGGGTCAGAAGGAGACTCCAGGTGCCCTATTGAACAAGTGCATGGCCTACCGGTGGGCCTCCCTCAACATTTCCCGGCAGAAGGGCACTCTGAAGGCATCAGGCCCTAAGGCGCCCTCTGCTGTGAGATGCCATCAGACGCCAACCTTTTGACCTGTGCGGTCAGCCCTTCCCAAGAGCTGGAGGGAAGCGAGCTCAAGGCCAGGGACTTGCTGATTCTCCAGGTGACTTGGAACCATCCAACTGCTGGTGTCTTCATTCCCCCAGCCCGGCAAGGATTGAGAACGGGTGAGATTCGGAGTCGGGACACCTTGATGGGGTCCATTGGCTCTGTTTGGACGTGGCTTGCCTTGTGCAGATTCCTTGGGAAACCAATGGGAAACCACGAAAAGCTCCAGCCTCAAAGTCTGGAGCCCTCCAAACCCCCTCCAGCGCCCAAGCCCCAGCAGGATACTGGCTTGCTCCCTCCGCGCCGATCCGCCTTTTGTAGGCTTCATGAAAGGCCAGTTAAGGAACCAGAGACACTCACCTTGAATGGGCCACACAGATCCAAACAGGCGCTCAAAATTTTCCAAACGAACAAAAAGAGGGCTGAAGTTTCACAGCTAGAACCCCCTGCAAAGCGGTTGGTGGACATGGAGCCCCACCTTGACCTCCAAAAGCGGGCCTTTGGATTCGGCCCCGTGCTGTTAACCCCATGTTCATCAACCCACCAGCTTTAATCACAGGGGGTGTTCTGCTCCAAAAGTGGTCTGATTCCCCACTAAACCAGGGACATCCCCCTATTGACAAGCTGGGGTTGATGAATATGGGGTTAACATTAGGCCAATGATGGTCAACGGTCACTTGGATCCAAGTATGTTGGCTCACAGGTATGCAGGGTGAGTCAGGAATGGCTGCAGGACATGAGGTGCTTCTTTGTCAAGCAAGTTGTTAACAGTCGGAACAAGTGACTACATGTGACCACGTTGCCCCTCCACTGCAAACAAACAAAACACTCTCACTTCCTTGCGGGCGTGTGCACGGCGGAACGCGGTGCAGCACGCAGGTCTGTCGAGGTCCGAGCGACTACTCAAACCTAAAGGGGCGGGTCCAGTCATTTGTGACTCGGACCGGCCTGGAGGCAGTGAACGCACAGATGGCGCCTTCTGCCCTTTTGAGAGCATGAAAAGAGGCCCCCAAGGTTAAACCCGCTTGTGGGGGGCCAATCTTAAGCTTCGAGAGGTTCAAACCTCTAATTTCGCCAATGTCCAGTTGAAGCAAACCAGAGAGGGACCGAAAAAAGGACCGCAGCAGAGCTAAATCGGAAGAAACAGTTGGTTGGGCAATGGCGTAGGAAGAATGTGTAACTACATCTTTCCAGGCCTCTCCTCGATTAGTTGCGACCCGAACCGGAAAAGCAATGCCATCACAACGAAGGGCCGCAACAAGTTCGATCCAGGAGAGATGGGCAACAATGTCCATGTGCTGATGCTGGTGAGTCAGCCACTGAATGACCTGGCTGGTGAAGGCCATCCCAAAACTTGCGGCCAGTTGTTGCCCAGAAGCTACATGCAAAAAGTCGGGGGGTATCCACTCAACCCAGGAGTTGGCCACATTGGGCCGGTCTAACAAAAGGCCGGGCTCAAAAGTGGTCGGGTCATCCGGTTCGCCTTCTTCGGCAGCAAGTTCTGGAGGAAGTCGAAAACGTTCAGCTACTGCAAGGTGTAGCTTCGTGAGAAGGCGTAGGCGGGTAGCCATGTCATTCTCAGCTGCCTGGTACTGGTTCCAGAGGCCAGCGAAGGCGAAGTCGCGGGTCTGGTTCGTGAATTTGGCGAGCTCATCTGCTTGGCCATTCCAGTAGGCTGACCATGCGTCCACCGGATCGTCGCAGTCTTCGGGTTCGCGATGACTAGCGACGTGGTGAATGCGAAGTTGGCCGGGTTGGAGAAGATCACAGGCGTCCCGCAGGCACTGCCATAGATCGTGGTTGGTGCGAGGATAGTCCGAGATGTCATCCAGGAGGCGCCAAGTGCCCCTTACCACATAGGACGAGTCCGACCAGACATGTCCTCGCAGTTTGCAGTGAAGTAGCCATTGTATCGAGGCAATGACCGCCTGCAGTTCTGCCCGGAGCCGAAGCGATGGTCCTGCCATGCGTTGCTGATATAGAGGACCAGGCTGCCAGTGGGGTAACCGAGGAGGTAGGGCAGGTGCATGAGCCGTCAGTGAAAATATGCACTTCATCGGGACCCTCAGCGAGGAAGGCAAAATTCTCACAATGGCTGGGGATGTCGTAGAGCATTTTCTTGAGGTCCGCGTAAAATGGGTTCCGAGGTGGTAGAAGCCGTTCACGTAGACACACTGGGGAATCGTGCCAAAGTTGAACGGCAGCTTGATGTTCGTGTCGTAATGTTTCCAGTGCGGGGCAGTGGAGGCATCTGTGAGTGATTGTGTCTTCAGCTCCACAGTGCCGGCAGGTACCTGCACAGAGGTTGTCGAATTTCTTGTGAGCACTCGCAGTGAAGAAGGCTCCTTCTCGCTGGGAGTTGACCGTGGCAACGTTCTGTGCGTTGAGCCCCTTGATGGAGGTCTGGCAAAGACCACCATTGACGCCAGTAAGGTCGGCATAGTCCTTGCGTTGGGCGAGACTCCTGGCAAGAAATTGATGCCATCCGTCTTCGAGTAGGCGGAAAAGGTGTTGGTGTGGTATGTGGAGAAGGTTGTGGGCAATGTCGTCGTGGTCAACGATGATGGGTGGGTCTGCAACTTTCCAATCAACCTGATGTAGTTGTCGAAGGATGGTGGAAAAAGGTCCTGCTCCCAGAGTGCCATCGTAGGCCGCCATGTACTGTTGCCAGTGCGTGAGCATAGAGGCGGTCTTGCTGAGGACTCGCTTGAAGTCTTGGAGGATGGTCCAGAGCTGATAGAAGCCAGGGTCGAGGAGTGTTCTGTGGGACAGTAGTCCAAGCCGGATGGCCGGTGCTGCACCCGCTCTCCCATGGCCCAATGCCCTGACGGCCTTGGTGCGGAGCTGCTTGATGTGCGCTGTACCCAGGTCGGAGATGGAGGCAGAGTGGAAAATCCGTGGCCAAAGGGCTTGGTAGATGACCAGTTGTTTGCATCTGGTTGGAGAGTTGGCCCTTTGTAGTTGGCCAACAAGGTTGGACTCGTCGTAGGAGGTCATCATGACTGGCTGTTCTGCGTTGTCGACCATAGGTCATGAGACCACCAAGATCTTTGGCAGTGCCAACCACGTCCAGTCGTAGCTGTTGTAAAAACTGCCTGTCGCGAGCTTGGAGGGCCCAGGCATAGGTCTTGTTGTGGTCGGTGGCCAGCTGGAAGAGCTCCATGAAGGATTCTTGGGTGATGATGGAGGTCAACAGATCGCCAATGTTGTGGGCAACCTGCTCAAGGTTGTCGACATAGGACAGTGCGATGGATTTGGGCGCATAGACGGATTGGTAGGTGTGGTAGCACCAGCTAGTGAGTACCATCGCCAGGCAGCTCATGCCACAACCTTCAGGATATCCGTTGTTGCACGGTATGGGTGGTCCAACAGTGCCTCGAACCCGAAAGTGCCGTTGAAGGTCGCCAAGAAAGCGATGCCAGGCATCAACAAGGCTGTTGGGAAGCCCAACGTGTAGAGCGATGGCTTGGACGTGACGTCTGGGTAGACAGTTGAACGCCTTGCAGATGTCTGCCACGTGGCCGAGTAGGGGCTGGTTGCGCTGCGCGGACAACTCTATAAGGCCTTGTAGTGGGAGCCAGAGCTGCCGGGTCTCCCTGGTGGGAAGGAAGCCGAAAGATGGGAAGTCCAGTAGTGGCTCCAACACTTCTAGGGCCTGGCGTGATCTGGTAGAGGACCATGCCCTGTACGCCATGCTGAGTACAACGATGGGCCTGAATTGATCTGCTTTGTCAGCATCTTCTACTTTGGCGATCCCACTAGCGAGACCTTGAAGGAGTTGTTCTGGCCATGGAGCACCTGCTTCAATGCCCTTGAAGTGATCGAGGAGCGCGTTCTTGAAGGTGCGAGGCATGGCTTTGAGGTCCGCGGCGTTGAGTCCATCTGGTCCTCTAGCTGAGCGGTCCCCAAAGCGGTTGAGAGCTGTTTCCCAGGTCTGAGGCTGTAGTTCAGGTAGCGTGAGACTACCTGCCGGGACGTAGGCTCGGATGAAAGCAGTGATTCTGGCCCAGGCTTCAGGTGGGAGTTCAGAAAGGGTGTTCCACCGCGGCGTCCAGTAGTTGACGAGTTCTTGGTGAATCTCGTCGTCTAGGGTGAGGTGCTGCTCACAGTGGACCGATTGCCCGGGGAAGATGAGGAGGTCAGTATCGTCCACCTGGTAGGTACAGGTGTCGAGTCGGTGAAGGAGTGCTGGTGTGTCGTTGATGTGGCAGGTGTTGAGGTGAACTGGGGCTCCGTATGTGGCACGTAGCCGCCGGTGTGTGCTCCGTGACTTGGCTTGTAGTTGGCCGTGGAACGTTTGCATGGAAGGTTGTGCCAGATGAGTTTCTGCGATGTTCCATATCCCCTGTGGGAGGTCGAGGAGATAGTCCACCTTGTTGGCAAGACCACTGGGGTTGGTGGTGCCGATGTTGATGCGAGGCCCAGGATGAGAGGCTTCGCCAAATCTGTGAATTCGTTGCGGCCATTGAGTGTCCGACCCAATATCGCGGTGGTCCGCGCTGTGCATGTAGAGGCGGGCAAAACACTCTCCGGCCGACTTGGAAAGACAAAATGTCTGAAGCTCAGGTCTCAGATGTGCAAGCATGGTGGTGTACCAATGATCATTCCCGTGGAGGTCGTGGCCGACATACCCACAATCGGTCTCGGTATCCAAGGGGTTGTGCTCAAGGGTCCACAGTGTGGAGGCCCTGGACTTGTGTGCAAGATCCAGTGCATCCGGGACAGGACGTCCACTTGCGACGTGGATTCCTGTAGAGAGGATGACCAAGTGAAAGGCCAAGATGATGTGAAGAAAACGGGGTGAGCCGCAGCGCAAGAAGCGGGCAAGCACCTGAGCAGCGCAAGGCTCAGGCCTGTGGCGCCCTAGTCACTCGGTCCTGTGTTTCTTTTGGAGGAGGCCTTCCAGGTTGGAGAAGCCTTTGGCCATGTCTTCGCGGAGGCTGTTGCTTTGCTGGGCCACGCTGTGGCCAAGGGCCGTGAGCTCTGTCTGCTGGGTGGCAACGGTATGTGCCATTTCCTGCAGCTGGACCTGTGTGTGTTGGTTCGCTGCTGCAGCATCGTTGAACCATTGTTCGAAGCGAACGCTGTGGTGCTTCAGTTCGGTGACGCTGGCCTCAAGCCGTTGAATGCGGCTGTCGTCATGGGCCGGCTTACGGTCGTCCATGTCGGTGTCTTGGTGGCCGTTCCAGCTGATGCCTTCGAGCTCCTTGCGAATGGTTGTTTGAAGATCAGTGCGGAGTCGTTGTTCCACCTGCTGGATCTTGTCTGTGGTCGGGAGCGAAGATGAAGCTCCCCCAGATTTTTGCGACCATGCTGCCCATGGATCAGCGCCCGTGGTCCAAGGGTCTGCTGTAGTGTGGGGAGACTTGGAGGTGTGTTGTCCCCGAAGAAACTGCTGGGTTTTGGTGGATGCGATCAAGGGCTGTGTGCTGCTGTCCGACTTGGCCGATCGGACTTTTGTGATTGTGATGTCACCGTGGGTGCTCGACATCACGGACTGTGGTGGTGGTTGTTCTGCTCCAACTTCCCAAGCTGCTCCAGCTGCATCGCTCCGAGAAGGCTGCAGTGGTCGTGCTTTCCATTGCCAGGTGCGGAGGGTCTTGATGAGGCCTGCCCGTTGGGTGCCTCTGGGAAGAGGGTAGAGCCGGTAGATGTCCACGATCTTGACATCGAGGTAGGGCTCATCCGGTTTGAGCCGCTGGTGAGCGTCTGGAAGTGCAGCATGAGGAAAACGGATTCCATATCGGTCCTGGAACCGGGTGATGGCGACTGCTTTGTCGGTGGTCTTCATCTTGTGCATGGCCTCCTGGTACGAGAGGTTGTTAAGCCAGACAATGCCATAAGCCTCCGAGGGGGACTTGCCGGAGCTGTCCCTGGGGTCGAAGTATATTCCGAAGGGGCCAGAGCATCCAATGATGGTGTCTGCGGCAAAGGATGGGATTCTGATGGTGGCACTCCAGATCGTGGCGTGATCGCTGGGGACTTTGTTGCCCTTGTGGTTGGACCACTGTCGGTTCCACAAGTCCATGATGATGGCACTGATGGGGTCCTCATCCACCGGCAAGTGGTATTTCGGACATGCGTCCCCACAGGCAGGACTCTTGCAGAGAGTCAGTGCTGGTTGTTGTTGAAGGACGGCTTTCATGGGGCCGGTGCTGAATTCAGTCCAGTCCCGAGGCCACTGGTCGCGAAAGACTTGGAGCTTGATGGTGAAAGTGGCAGTGGTCACAATGCTCGGGAGGTTCTTGTGCTTCTCTCTGTTGACTCGAACCTGCCCGAGTTGTATGAGGCTGCCCTGGATCAAGACCGGCTCCTGGGTCTGGGAGTGAGTAGCGGGGTAGACCATGTTCTCAACCGGTAGAAGGCCGACTTGCTCGTGGGGAACACATGTGGTCGTGAGGACGGCCAAGGGTCCGTCGTAGATGGGCTGGTCATCAGTGAGGTAGGGTCACAGTGGCAAAGGCCAAGCCAGCGTTCTTGCCCACACGATTGAAAGGAATGTGGGGAATGTGTGTCCCATCTTCGGCGAGAAAGGAGCCAGGGATAAGGACAAGGTCGGTTGGGCAGACTTGCAGCGGTGGCTTTGGTGCGGTGGTGGTCCTGCCCTTTTTATTCGAGGGCTCGAGGCTGTAGCGCTGTTCTCCCCTGGCTTTGACCTTCTGCATGAGTTCGTCGTGCTGAAGCCACATGAAGTTGATGCCAGGTTGTGATGCAAGGCTTTTCAAAGCAGCCCATTGATTCTTGCTGGAGAGAGCAGTTTGGACGTCTTTGATGTTGAGCTTGCGTAGAGCTTGATGAGCTCTATCTTGTGCCCGGTCAGCTGGGATGCCCTTGCTGATCAACAGAGGCACAAGCTGAGTGATTGTGGTGTCATTGGTGCCAGCTGGACCAGTAGGTGTGGTGTGACCAGCAGGTCCTCCGTAGCGGTAGAGGATGTAGAAATGCGCATCCGGGATGGAGCTGTAGATGTCCAGGTGGCGAGGTGTGCCAGTGCGATGGTGCCGCATGCGAAGGTCTCAAGCTGCTGGTAGTGCTGTGTGGGTGTGAGAGAGAGACACGGGGTACCCCAGGCAATTGCAATTGCCTTGGCGAGGTGGAGACCACCTTGAAGTCCTCGTCCTGGAAGGCCATCCAACAGTAGGGCATGGAAGCCTTCTGCTTGTGGATAGCATGCAAGTGTCGCCCAGTGGTCATCGTAGGCAAAGATGGTGAAGAGAGGTCCCGTGCGTGCTGGTACGTTGTCGAGTAGTGGATGTGCTGGTTGTATGTCTGGCTGTTGAGCCAGAAAGGAGCCAAGGAGTGGTGGTAGGAAGTTGATGCGCTCGCCGTTGAGCTCCCCGTGGTGGTGTGCGATGGCTTGGAGCTCGCCTTCAATGTGTGCGTCCCCGAGTCCAGGGCCACAGAGTCCCTGAGCAGAGTGGTGGGGTTCGCGTTGAAGGCGATAGGGTCCGAACTTTCCTTGGGTTTGCAGTGTGGCATGCAGCGGGAGCTTGATGTGACCATCCCAAAGCGTGATGGATTCATCTTCGTGAAGTTGGCCTTCAGCTGCAAGCAGATCGTGTACTTGCTGATGTCCTTCACGAAGGACGTTGATGTAGAGTTGGTGCTCGTCCAGGATGTGGATGTGCCGTGTGGCGTGTGAGTCCTCTGTGATCCATAGGTGATGCTGCTCGAAGAGAAGGGAGTCTTTGTACCCCTGGAGGAGCTGTTCAGGATTGCATGGTGGCCCCCAGTTGTACGCCTCTTGTACTGCCTTTACGAGGTGCGAGGCAACCCAAAGCGCTTGTAGTGGAGCAGCTACTTGGCCAAGTAGGCATAGGCCATTTCGTGGTTGTCCAACGTACTGAATGCTTTGGGGCACTGTGAGCAACAGTGCCGCCTCCTTGGTGTGAAGGAACCTTGGAGCTCCATAGATCAGGGATCGTACGTAGAAACCACGGAGTCCCTGCTGTAGTAGACGTTCCGTGCAAAAGGATTGGCTCCTGCATCCACACGGGCATTTCGTGAGAGCGTTCCCATATGAATGAAGCAGTGTGGGACATGGAGCGGAGACTTGTAGTAGTCGGAGTTCATCGCCGTAGTCCGGGTTGGTGTACAGGGCGATCTCACGCTCCGAGAGCAGCAGTGCCTTCTCCTCTTCCTTGGTCCATAGCGGCCATCTTGGAATGATGTTCTCCACCGTGAGGAGAGGTGCAGTGTATGGCCATGTCTGGAAAGATTCCAGATTGAAAGTTGCTGGGGCGAGGATCGCCCACCATCTTTCCCGGTGTGCTGGCCACTGGTGATGGAGTGCCAATACCACTGTCTTGAGCTGGTAGTGCATGAGGTTGGCCAGATAGGTAAGGTTCTGCATGATGAAGCTGTAGTGCTGGACTGTGGCTACACACTCCAGGATGATGGCAGGTGCTTGAAAGAGCCATGCCGTCTTGAGAGTGGCTCCGAAGGTTGCTGAACGAGGGTCGCGCTGTCCACGTCTGTCTCCCTGCCGTGAATATGGTTGGCAGGGGAATCCTGCAGCAAGTACTGCTGGCTGGGAGCCTCCTGCAGCATGAAGCGTGGCCACGTGAGCGTTCTCGTGGACACTGCCCATGATCACATTGTCCGCGCCGTTGGCCTTGAGCTGAGCACATGCTAAGGCGTTGTGATCCATGTGTGCGACAGCACAGATTCCTGCTTGGCGGGCCCCAATGGCGATGCCCCCCATGCCTGCGCAGACTTCTTTCAGCCTCCGGTAGTGCATGATGTGCACTGGCTCGTGGTAGAACCATCTGGTGTCCTCTGTGGAGTTGGCGGTCAGGATGCCATCATTGGTGAGGAGCGTGGTGTTGTAGATCGTGAGGAGGCGAGTGTGGTCGAGGTGGGCCGGGATCAGGAGCAGGCCACCGAAGGGCAAGATCTCCATGAAGTGCCGGCCCATGAGAGGAGCGTCCGTCTCCGGCGGGACCGGTCTCAGGACTCCAGTCCAGCAGCCACCGTGCGCCGGTGGATCCATCCAGGTGGGCGCCTCCATTGCACAATCTCCAAGCGTTCGGCCGCCCTAGTCTCACCAGCTGAGAGGCGCTTGGTCCGAGACTGCAAACAAACAAAACAAAACCAAAAAACAAGACACGTCAAGCAGTTGACCTTTTGGGGCCATGACTAATGGACCGACATGGGGAAACTAAAGGGTCAGATCCGGTCCATTCGCTTTGGTTGCAAGTGCGAGTATAGTAACCCAGAGTATCCATGTACCTGGTTCTGTGGCTAAGGGCGTGCCTCCCTGTACGAAAAATTCCAAAAAACAACTGGATCCAAGGGTTACCCGCTAGAGATCGAAGGGGTTACCTATATCCTAGGGCGAAACGATTCCTGGGATCCACTGGGTGTAGCGGTCCTTTTTACAGCAAGAGGACTTCCCTGGGACTTCCGAGACGGACTTCCTGAATTCGGAGTGTCTCGCTTCCTGAGTTGATTGGCCAACAAACAGTCCAAACACTTTTTGTTTACCACCAACATGGTCTTTTCCCAAAAAGTCTAAAGTCCATGAACCCAGGGAGCGAGGAGTGCCGTCCTCCCCGGCGCTTCCGCGCGCCATCCGCGCCTCCCAGCTCCAGCAGAAGGCGCTTGAAGCCCTTGGCGCAGGCCTCCATGACCTGCCAGGAGCTGGGTCCTCCAGATTTGAGAGGGGAGAAGAAATACGGGTACCCGATTTTATTCTTATTAGGTTTTATTATTATTGTTTTTACGGTTTTGTCTATTTTAGTAGGGGAACCCTCCCCAAAATAGTCGTTGTTTTGTGTTGTTGTTTTTGTGTTTGTGTTTTTTCTCTTCTTTTTGTTCTTCTGTAGTCTATTTTGGTAGGGGAACCCTCCCCAAAAAAAGTTGGTAAACAAGTTGGCACTACTGGGGGACCTGGAGGAGCTTGATTCTCCTGAACTGAACCACTGGGACGAAGTCTACCAATTGGTTTGACGAAATGGAATCGGTAGCCCAAAATGCCGTGCCTTCACGAGGTCTCAAGATTCTTGGGCTGGGTCTCTTAGATTACCCCATCAACTGCTGGGCATTTTTTGGTGGATATGGTGGATCTTGGAAGAATCTACTGCAAACAGCCCTCCGTTTTTTGTTTGGGGGGGTGTGAAGTCGACCCCTGACGGAAGGAAAAAAAACACGGACCACCAGAGGTCCGGGTTTCCCTCCCAGGTGTTGTCTAAAGGAGGAGCGCAAGCCATGTAGAACACCGGTTGAAGGAACCCCTTGAGAAACGGAAGTCAACATGTTCCGGGAACAAAACACAAAGATGCACAAAGATGAACCACGTAAAGAAAGAAGAAAACAAAAGAGCCAAAAAAAAAAAAACGAACATTGGGTGGGGTCCTATGCAAGATCATGAAATTAGGGTCCAGAAATCAGAGAGTGCTTTCAGGTGGTGCTTCCAAACTAGAACCCCCCACCCCATTTCCCCACGTGCGATTCACCTTGATCAACCATTCACGCCCATTAGCAACAAGTGGATCAAGTTGGCAATACGCCATTTGTCCGCAAATATAATAACATATTGTACAGCCAAAACCTGAACCGAGTCATGAAGGAAGAAACCCTCACGATCTCTAAGGAGTCCCCCTTTGCAGCGAGCGGTGTCCGTGTCTCCATTTTAAGCAGATTCACTCTAGGAAGACTACATGGACTCTCCAACTTCTTAGATTCCAACATGGAACTCTTCGTTTCTCCCATGTCAATCCAAGGGTCGAGTTGTACCCTGCGGGGGCCTCCGAAAATTTGTTGGTCCTTAGTAAGTATGCTACAAGGGGCCTGGCGCAATTTTGAGGCTATGCGATATTATGCGGTGATGTGTGGAGGTGTGGTTGGGTGGTAGAAGCGGTTTTATGAGCTGAACGGTACTTGGCTGCCTCGGTTTGGTTATAAAGTGCGTTACACACACAGCAAACCGAATTTAGGAGGTGTTTAACCCCATTTATGTTCGTCGCAATCAGAACCTGGAATTAAAGGGATCTCTTTTTGTAAAGAATCGACCAGGAAGACATGCGCCCGTTTGTCGGCACTCCCCCACCTAGCTTCACCTTCCTGGCCCTGTCGCAAAAATGGAACCGGTAAATAATGAGGAGGATAACCAACAGGAAAACCAATGTTAGGGGAGTCCCCTAAAAAATAACACACACACACACAATCAACAAAAAAGGCTTGCTTGGTTTATAGCCCGATTCATAACCAAACCGACTGGGTTATAACCCTGAAAAAAAAGGTCGAAGGCAGAACAAACCGGGGTGCTCCGGGGTCCTTTGTGGGGTTCAGGTTTTTACCCATTCAGAAGATCCCCCCCAGCGCGAGACCTTCGATCTGCGCCTTGCTGCCAATGGCCGTTGACCCCGTAAAAACCACCTTCCGCACCTCACCCGGCGCATGGCGGATGTAGGTTTTGTCCCTTCTCCCCGAGAAACAAAAAAGATGAGTATCTCACTTGACGGGCTTTGGATCCTCTAGAAAAGAAAACCCAAAGGTACAAAGGTCGGTTTTGAACTGAGCTTTCCAAAACGGATCCAGTGATGACCAAGATCACTTCTTTCTCCCGAAGCACCCCCCTCCCCCCGCCCCAGGCCCAAAACTACCATTTGGCATGTTGAGACTTTTGTAACCCCCATGGGTTCTAGCTATACTTCAAGCAGTCTTTCCCTATCCAAATGCAAAAGGGCCCTCCAAGATGGCGAAACCGGACCTAAAAGCTCGGGCTTGTCAGCTCCCCATTCTTTGGGTTCCAGGGATCTCTCTTCAATGCAAAGAAATCGTACAACTTTACTTGGCCAAACAGATCTGACCCCCCGTAAAACGTGATAGCTGTTGCTGGTGAGGAAAACTAAAGTAACCCGAAAGGGCAAAATGGCTAAGGGGCAAAGAGGTTCGAGTAGTCTAATTTTAGGGGTCTCCATGTTGAGACAAACGAATGCTCTCAAACTCGATGCATCACCCCATTCAAACAGTCTGGCGCAAAGAGCAATGCATAGTGTTGCTCCAACAACCTGACTGGCATAAGGATGGGACATTGACCACCCAAGCCCCCATGTTCTAAAATTTGTGTGGCCAAATCAGGGCAAAAAACTTTAATGGGTGTCTCTTGCCTAGTAATGCCCCTTTTGGTGGTTTTAGAAGGGAAACGAAAAGGACACATTTTGGAGGGTCCACCAAAACAGACATACACACATACAGCCGTCCGGTCAACGGCCAACATTTTGAGGCGAGCCAGCGGATCCCGGATCCCATGTAGTTCCAGGGGGTGATTTTCCTTTTCCATTATTTTGAATTGTTTGGGGGTCCCCGATTTGAGCTCAGGCACTTTTTGTAGGTGGGTTTAAAGGGAAACTCCGGGAAATCCTTCTTTCAAAAACCGATCGCTGTTTTCCATGGGGTTTCAGGAGGTTTTCTGGAAAGGATCCCTGGAAAGAATGGAAATGGAAGGTACCCCTAGAGTAGTAGACAAGCTATTGTCCTTTTGATTTTAAAGGGTGGTTCCCTTGGTTGCCTACTGTATAGGTAACAGGCCCCATTATTTTACCACTATCAAAGTCACCTCCTAAGTAACAGGTTCGAGGGAAACACCCCCAGTTGCTGACTTTGATAACCCAACCAAACAGTCAAAATAGTGACCTCAGTACTATATAGGCAAATGCCCATGAAGCTGAGAAACTTAGCATACTTCACCAACCGTGAACAAGTGATCCTTATGAAAGAAACCACTATCGGTGACGTCGCCAGCCGGCCTCTTGACATGGCTACAATCTGCCCAAATGAACCGTTACTAGGTCCTCCAGTAGAGAGGTTAGAATAAGGGTACCCTTTTTGCTGTAGTCTATTCTAGTAGGGAACCCTCCCCCAAAAAAGTTTGACAAGGGCACTACTGGGGGACCTAGGTTAAAAATCCAACACTTGCACAGTTTGATGGAATGACCAGGAACCGCCAACTTCTGCACTTTCCTGGGCTGAAAACCGAACCTGCTCAACAGGAACCCTGAACTCTTGAAAGCATCCAAAAACCACCTGATTTACAAGGGTATCCTCTACTCTGGCAGACGTGATGTTCGAACTGGCCCAAATGTATCCTTTAAGGGACCCTGATAAAACTTGGCCCAGCAAAAAGTTTAACTTTTTGCCGGTTAAAAGGAAATATGAGGGGAATCCAAAAAGTTAAAGTCTAAAGATCCAACCCAATAGCAGTAGAGAAAATCGCTGGCTGACTGGCCCAGGTATCCTTCAAGGTCAATTGCGCCGTGCGGACCTTCCCCTCGGCTGGGCAACTGAGACAAGATGCTGCGCTGTGATTGGTCAGGATCTCGCCCGGCCTGTGCGAGCTGCATACAACAGGAGCCACGTTCAAATTGCCGGCTTCCCCAAGAGGACACGGGTGTGCTTCTTTTCGAGGCACCCCCCTTTGTGGAAAAAATACGTTTTCTTTCGGTGAGATGAACACAACAATATTAGGTTTGCGTCTCACATATGGAAAACCAAGAGGAAACCCAGCATTGTGGGAGGGTCCCTTAAAAAACAAAAAAACAAAAAAAAACAAAAACGACACACCTGCATGGGAAAATTAGTGTGTGTGTGTCCCTAGGTTTTGCGGGCAACCAATTGAGTCGTCCATGTCCCTCCCAAATGGACCATACACTATACTGTATATCGTGACAAAACCCTAAGAACTACGTGCTCATGGGCATGTGCCCCCATCATGAATTGGAGGTGGGTGGGGACCAACCATGACCAACCTACAAATGATATATATATATATATACTTATATATATATTAATCATTTATTTGTTAATCGATTTATTCGTTTAGTCTGTTTGTACTGTATTGATTTATGCATGTTGGCTTCCGGCTCCTGATTCGCTGGACCCCCCAATGGTGTCCCCATATCCGGGAATCGGGCACGGCTAGCCAACCTTAGCTAACTTCAAACCCTGCCTAAACCCACTCTAAACCAACCAGCCAACCCTTGACCAACCCTTAATCAACCCTCAATCAATCCTTAATCAATCCCAAATCAATCCTTAAGCAACCCCAGCCACAACTCAGCGAGGATCCGGGATACCATGCCCATGCCTCACATGCATTGCTTGAACACTCAAGGGCCAGGCAGTGTCCGTCTGGTAGATTCTAATCCCAGACCCCAGCGGCTCTGGAAGCACATCCTTTGCTGGTGGGTTTTAACGTGTTTCACCCTGTCAAACAGATAGAAAAAAGGGCTCGCAATCCATTGGGCGTCTGGGTGCTGCTGGAATTCTACTTCTGTGGGCTTTGTCGTAAAATAGAGGACCTCCAAAATGCCTGGTTTCCTTTTGGATTCCCTTGAAGATCCAACCAGAACTCAAAGAAGACACCCCCAAATACGGCCTGTTCAATTGGGGTTCTGGGAGCCCCATTAAAAAGACCACAACCAGTTCAAAAAAGGAAGCTCTCTTCTGGGCGTCTGTGTAATTATGTAGGCTCTTGTGGCACCTGAAGCCCGGTCTTCCGCCTCCGACGCACAGCCCATTTGCCCCCCGCTCCAAAAGAGCGCCTGGGATTGCTGTCGTCTGCTCCCACCACCACGTTCAAAACTCCTGAGGACATCTGCCAGCGGATCGCGGTTTAAACATTAACCGTTATGTTCTTTCAAGCTCACAAGCCGAGGACGCTGGTTAGTTCGAACCTTGAAGTTGAAACAGTCCAAGTTTAAATGCTGGTTCAGCCTAAAAGGCTAGGTCTTGAGTCTTGAGCTAGTCGCTTGAAAAGGAAGCAGAAAGGAACACGTGGTCATGTTGCGCTGGATCCTTTCTGTGGCTTTTCCCTGGCGCCCCAGAGGCAAAATGTATTGTTCTCTCGTTCCCTGGAAAACTAAACGCACGAACTGGGTAAGATCTGTCAGCCCCGTTCGCCATGGGAAAAAAAGAGATCAAGGGGGGCACCACTGGGTGTCTAGAGCCCAATCTGCCTGATCGGGCAAATCTCCGCTTTGGCTGGCAAGTCAGCATTGCGATCTCCCCCCATCCACGCCTGAGTCCCTTCTCTTCGTCTCTGAGCAAAAGTGAATAACAACACTTGGGCGGGTCTTTGGTAGTTGTTGCCCCCTTTCCGGCATGGTCAAGGGAAAAGGACCACCACCCATGTTGCGGCGTCCCTCCGTGAAGACAAGCTCACCTGAGTCATACACAAAACCCGGAAATGACACGGTTTACTCAAACCCAGGTAAAGAATTGAAAGGGCGCGCGCACCTGTTGCAGGTTGGGTCTGTCCCGTACTATCCGCAAAAGGAAGCCTTTGCAGCCTCCAAACTAGGTTGCTCCAAGCCCTTCTGAGCAAAAGGGTGGTTAGCTTTTGCGGGTTTACTGGCAAAAACCATTGGATTCCAACAGGTCTAAAGGGGGTAATTAAGCTCACACCAAAGATCAAACGGCCATGCAAGGAATGATACGCCCGCAGTTTACACGAAATGCAACTTACCCCAAAGAAAAGTTCGCCTTCTCTGGCCAAGTGCCGGCCGATTCAACTTACAGTGATCCACAAGGACTGGGAGGAAAAACAAAAACTTCTCCTTGGTCAAAGACATCCTTCTCCACCTGAGTCATAATCAAAACTCGGTATTGCAATGGGTTGTCCCTTGCTGCTCTCCAATTCCTCGAGTTTTGAGTGTGACTCACCCGACAAGCAAATGTTGGAATTGCCAGCGTCATGACCACTGCTGATGTGAGTGGGATGCCCAGCTGGGATGGGCAATTTACATCCTTTTCCTAGACCTCTATTTAGGCTATGTACCGGGCGGGAACTTCTAAGCCGGTTGCAACCCAACCAATCAACGCCGCAAAAAGTAGAGTGGGCGTGTAGGGTACTTTAAAAATGCATGGCTGTGGCTCAAAAAGTGGTACCGTGTTGGGCCCCTTGGATGGAAACAAAGACCAACACCTGCGTAACCCCAGCTGATTAAGTTTGAGCCACACCCACATAAAGCCATGAAAAGATATTCAGCCCCATATAATGGTACAACCCCCTTTTCTTTCAGCCCCTTTTCTTTCAGCTTCCCTCTTGGTGGTTTGGATTGGTGGTTTGGTGGTTAAGGAGGGGTTCCCCAGTTACCCTCTACCAAATCCAGGGGTTCAAATCCAAATCCAAAAGCACCAATCCAAACCACCAATTACGAGTTACCTGAAGAGTGCTCCTGGACCGGGCAGAAACAAAAATCGAGTCATCCGTCCAATTATCCTTCCTCCCACTAACACAGACTATGTTTCATCTTCAGCCAACCCAGCTGCTAAGCCTAACTTTAAACAAACGGAGAAGCCAAGTCCCCAGCTAGCTTCACCCCCTCGAGGCCTCCCCGATCAGATCGGCTCAAAGATGTATGTTTCAACCAAATCAACCAAGAAGGACACCTATGCGGCTTCCCTTGCCACAGACAAAAAGGTATACTAACTCAAAAAAAGGAAAAAAGATGCGCGCAATTAGACACTGATAGGTGTCCATTTGCAGTAGAGCCTCCCAAAAAGGACACCTATGCTCCGGATCGATCGATCGGATCCTCGGGGCAGGATGGGCCGCAGCAGCTCGCCGATGCGGAGCGTGGTCAAAGGCGTCTGGGGTGCCGGCTTCAACACCACCTCAGCGCGGCCCAAAAACAAACCCAGGGGAGTGGCGTAAGGCAACAACCAAAACAATCCCAGGGGAGTCTCGCCTTCAACCGTTAAACAAAATGAAAAAACAGGGGAGTCTCGCGAAGGAGTTTTAAAAAAACACCCAAACCGAGAATTACAATAATGGGTCGCAACAAACCTAGAAACATTGGTTGATCAACCAACTTGTGCAGGATTTGTTCATCCACAGTAGGATTTGAAAATGCTCTCTGTTCATCATCATCAGTCAAGGACAGATGCAAGATGGTCCCAAACGCATCGACTTTTGGGTCTAGCCAACTTGCAGATGCTGATTGTTTCTTTGCCGCCAACCACAAATGAACAGAACCAACAAACAGAACCAACACAAAAACGGAACCAACACAAAAACGGAACCAACAAACGGAACCCCAACAACAACTAAAACACCTGGTAGTATTCGATCAGAGCCAGAAATTGCCTGAGGTCTTTCGGCAGGCCTGCAGGAATCCAACCTGCGTCTCGTCCGGGGCTTCCACTGAAGATAGTCATTGGTGTGTCTTTTTGTGAGGCGAAGGGTACCCCCATTTTGGGCTGTTTAAAAGTGTTAAGGGACACCAAGAGGAAAACCAAACTTTTGGGAGGTAAAAGACACTCCTTCTTTATGGACGGGTCACTTTGTTGACGATGCCCTTTTTGAGAATGTATTTGTTGCTACCAGCAAGAAGCAAAGGCCGCAAAGGCCATGTGGCCAAGCCCTTTCTGTGATACCACGATGAATCAATCCCATGATCACTTTGAAGGGAAAGCCAAGGCCAACCAATCAACAATAACAACACACTCCCCTGCAAGTTGCTAGAAGGCAGCGGGTGGAGTCCTTTCCGAGCAGATCCCTCTAAAGATGTCATCATACCCTCACTTGGTGGTTCGGCCTCTCAAGCCAAACCACAAAACCCCAATCAAGGGCTACCTGATGTGGGCAGCTGACAATACCAGAAACCGATGAGACCATCCAACCAGATAGCATGGAGCAACTTCACTGCGCCCAAAACTTGTAACAGGGCCTGTATTTTAGCTGGTTCTACCGGGTTTATGGTGTGTGTGTCTGTAGCAAGGGCAAAACAAAGTCTCAATCGCCATCTCAGAGCCACGGGTGAAATGGGGGCAGTTCTTGAGTGCCGCGCGCCCGGCCGGGCAAAGAAGACTCAAATGGCCAAAGGAATTCAGAATCGAAGATTTAAGACCTGACCTTCACTACGCTCAGGTTCCGCTGGTAGCAACTTGAACTCAGAATTGTAAAGCGGCCAAAAAGAGTTGTGGACGTTCTAAGAGTTGACTCCGAAATTGATTCCCCTTTCTTTTAACCCTGGCTCTGTGCAAACACCAGATGGTTTCATGCGGAAAAAAACCTATGCCCGGGAACTTCAATTCGGCAACCAACAGGTGCTGCTGAAACCAAAAAGCAATCCAATGTTCACCATGCCAAACAGGGTCTTTTGATTCCTGGATTGCTGGCAAAGCCTTCCCTGCCTCAACGGAACCGCAGAAAACCTGGCAGGTAGCAAAGCAGTAGGTGGGCTTTTGGAACAATAGATGGCCCTGGTAAATGGAACAAACCCATCGAACCCAGTGCCATCTATGGTTATCGACACTAACCTAAAAAGGACACCTATGCAAGCAGAGTGTATAGTCGTTTGAAGTTCCGGTGGGATCTGAGCATAGACGCTCAACGTACTTGTGACTTTTGGCCCATAAAGAGTCCAACGGCATAAAGGGGACCAAGGGCTTCTTGTCTCATGCCCTTTGGGTTTCTCTCCAATCCCAACCCGCCGGACCCTTCGTGTGCTCGCTTTTCGGGGATGGGTATGTCCAAAGCGAGGGGTTCCCCCAGAATGGGGCTTCCCTTTGGATTCCCTTAACCCCGAAAACAGCCTGGAACCAACATGCCAAAGATACCATCCCTTTTTGGTTTTGCTTTGGGAAGTGGGCCAATACAGAGGCGCAGCCAGGTAGAATGGGGGTCGGCATGGGGTACCTGAAATCCGCATTAAGGCACTACAGGGAAGACGATTACTGTTTAACCGTTGTTTTATTCAATATCTAGCGTCCTTACCCATCCCCTGTCTGGGCTATTATTGCTGGACAACATACAAGCACATACTATTTTGATGTACCCGGGCAATTCAATGATTCTGGGCTAACGTCGACCCCGGAGTAAGAAAACCCTGCTTACTAATATGAGGGTGTTCCCCTCCAAAAATGATGAACCCCGCTCAAACCAGGGACACCCCGACGTAAATCATTCTGGGTTTATGAATCCGGGGTCAACATCATGCGGTTGCAAAGGGGCAGGAATTCGCCATAAGCCAGGCTTCCAAAACCCCCAAACCGCAAAAAGGACTATCAGGAGCATAGGTGTCCTTTTTGGTTGTTTTGTTCGAAAAATAGATGGGTTCCCTGGTTTACCTGGTGGTTTCATCATCTACCAGGGCCATCTATTTCCCCTAAAAGGACACCTATGGTCAGGAGCTTCGCCCACGGACTTCCGCCCCTTCCGCCGACCTCCCCGGCGGAATTTCCGAAGTACCGGCGTCGAGGCGCGGCGTTGCCGCAGGCGAGGGCGGTGGCGGTGGGCTTCCAGCCCAGCACGATGGGGGCGTTCCAGGGCCTGAGGCGCACGATGGAGAGGCCTGGAGAGGCTTAGCTGAGGTTGACATATGGGCGGTGATCAATACTAAGGGTAACTCAGGGTTGATCAATATGGGGGTTGAAATTTAGGGCGCCCAGTTTTGACCGTGGGTAGCTTGTCCGTTGGAAGGTCGTATCTTTGTTCGTTGGTTTTCCTAACGGTCATCCAATGGAAAGAACCTTTCGGTCAACCCCCATATGAGCAGCCCCCTTTGTAACAAGGCAGTAGAACCGCCTAGTACATGGTGAATGGGGGGTTGGGCGCTCACACGAGTGTGATTCTTGCTGGTTTAAACGTAGACCAACCAGGTGCCACCTATTTTGACACAACCTGTTGGGGGTCACTGTTGGGGATACCGCCCTTGTTTTTCCCCGGCAGCTGGGTGCTGAATCGCCCATGTTTAATTTCACCCAAAGGAAACCCAAAGGCGCTGCATCATTTCCCCCACTCGAGGTTTCTGGGGCTGGGGATACCAGTCCTTTTCGTCAGGAAATGGCGATGATTCCTTCCCGAAGCTCACCCAAAGAAAAAAGACCTCTGCCAAGTGAGACCCTGAAAAAAATATTGCTTGATTTTGTAGGGCTCCAAAACAGTTTGGGGTTTCCCCAAATCTCCAAAAAAGGCAAATCACATGTTTATCCCCGGGAAAACCTACACGAGACGTAGAGATGGCTGCCTTCAGGAGGCCTGCTGGGGATCCCGATCCCTCTCAGACCTCCCCAAACAAAGCCAGGTCCTACTGAAACCCAGGGTCAACATGGAGTCAACCTCTTGGAAACCCTGGTAAGTACTGAAATTCTGAAACCCGGGTTCGGAAACCGAGTCAGCCCCTTGGAATCCACTCAACACTGCTAGGCAAAATGCACTAAACCCGGGCATCGCAGCCAGGCTGGCCTTCCGAACTTGGCAAATGAACCTCCCAGCTTTGTCAAGCAAGCAGCTTCTCTGGTCTCGAACTTCCCCGCCCCAAAAAAAACACAAAACACACAACAGTGGTTTCTTGTGCCTCCCCAGCAAAACCACAAAATGTGGGGACCCGCCAAAAAAGAAAACCGTTCCGTGAACTTCCCACGTTCAACATGGCTGGCTTCCTGCCTTCCCATCCAAGGGGGATAATTTCCCCGACCTCCGGTGGCTGTTGGGAACACGAATACTTCTTCGGCGCCGCCTGAGCAAATCTTGGTAATGGAAACCACCCACTACACCAACTAGAAACCTAACAAACCTAAGGAACCGGATGGCTGAGAACCACCAAAGGGGCCTTCCAGGTCACAAACCAGCCATTGGAACCTCAGGTTCTTTGGGGAAAAATCCAACCGCTTCCCTTCAAAAACCCAAGCCCAACACATCCCAGTGACTAAAGGCTTGGTTGTTGTTGACCTTGCAACAAGTTGTCACTTTTTGCGGGTCCAGCTCGGGGGAAAAACAAAAAACAAAAAAACATGAAAATAGAAATCAAGTCTACAGCTCCAACCAACTAGCCATAAACAGGGGGCGCCCAAGACATGGTTCCATATGTCCCATTAAGCATCACCATGCGAATATCACCCCAGAAGGAAATTCACGGCCCAAGAGGTGATGTCCATGATACCTTCAACTGAAAACTCTAAAGGATCACTGCGAATCCCCCGCCCAAGGGACCAGAAATGGAAGGTCAACCTTTGTGACCTTCGCTGAAAGTAGACCAAACTAGCGCGGATCCATTTACCTGTATGGGGAGCCAAAGGAACCACCCGTTTCAAAAACCAAAAGGAAAATGCCCGGTCACCTCGATCCACAGGGCAGCAGAAGGTCAAATCCGGTCGATTCCTGGCCACCCACCCGGTTTCCGGAATGCCAGGGTGCGCAATCACTGCTACCACGCCCAAGGGCGTTCGCCGCACTACTACCTGACTGAAAGAGAGGTGGGTGTATCTTAAAACAGAGAAACCCTTCTTGAATATGTTTTGAGAAAGCTGAACTGCTTTTGGATGGCTGAAAAGATGAAACACGCTTTCTTTAGCTTGGGTGCAAAGCAACACCAACCTTTTCGGATGGTTTTACACGAAGTTCAACCACGTTTTGGTGTGTTGAAGACACGAGGAAAGCTACCCAGTACCCAGTGGCGATTCCGAGCTTAAGCTCGCACCCGCCCCCTGAGGCCTGGAATCCAGAGGCGGCCCCATGTCAAGAAACAAAAGCCAAGTACCCTCCCACCAATTCGCACATACCGTTCGACGTTCGGGGGGTCGGGGGTCCCTTAAGGCAACCAGGATCCGGTCAGGTTCCATGTTTCTTGGTGGGAGAGTCACCAAAACCAACCATTCTCAAAGGAAGGTGAGCCTGTGACGGACGAGATCCACGCCAGGCACCACTGGAGATATATGGGTGTGGTTCAAAATTGAACCAGGGACCCACAGGTTTTCGGCCATGTTTCCATTTAACAGGGTTGCATTTTGGGTACCTATTTTTGACCCACAGCCATATGAAACTATAACTATAATGGTTGCTGAACCACCTGGTGCAGGATTTTGTCCATCCACAGCCCCATTGGTTTGGCTGGTTTGATCAGTTACAACATGTAAACGCACCATTTGAAGGCTTCCCATCAGACATTACCATTTGGGGTCTCGTCAAAGCCAGCATGACTAGACCCCGCTGCGAACCCAGACCTTACTTGAACTTGGGTGGCCAAGTTGGAACAACAAACCATACTTACTTAGAGGTCCCCCAAGTGGAGCTCGCCTGGTTGTAGGTTACAGCCTAGGTTACTGACCACATACTGACTGGGTTGTACATCCAAATACATATCTCTTGGAGGATGTCCGATGCTAGGCTTTTATTTTTCGGGCCAAGGGCCCATTGGGACCTGGGGGAATTTCTTCTAGCCCCCGTTTCCCCCCCCCCGCCAAAAGAAAATAAAAAAAGGAAAGAAGTTGGCTTCCCTGTTGCCCTTAGCCACACCCAAAAAGACACGGTGCCAGCCTGTTTCCATTTGGAAGGCAGTCAGGCTGGGAAACTCCCAAGGTTACCTCCATTTGCAGTAGAGCCCCTGGAAAAACATCAACCTGTTGCCAGTAGCGAGTGAAACCAACAGGGGAAAAATCCAACTTATTCATTTCGCCAAAACTGGTGCGTGTTCACCCCCACGGTTGCCTGCCCTTTGGTTTCCCTTTTCGATCAAAAAGGGGTTACCCGAAAAAGGCAACTCTCGCCCCCCCCCCTTGCCTTCTTCTCCTCGTCCTCCGACACCAGCTGCTCCTTGCAGAAGATGGGCAGGACTTGGAATGAGGAACCCCGGTTGTTCGGTTGGGCTACCCTCCCTCCCACTAACATGGCGCCTGACAGAGGGTCCCCTGAAGAGGAAATCGATCTTCCAGGTACCCTCTCACAGGTGCTATGCTAGTGGGAAGAAGGATAAAAGAAACCCACCGGGAGGGATCCACCGCCCTTTTTCGAAAATTCCCCCCCCATTTGACACATACCCCAAAGCTCCGCGCCGCGGAGCCCCCGCCGGCCCGGTGATCACCGGGTGCCGTTTTGTTTTTTTTTTTCTCCTGAGTCACCAGGCTCAGGACCCTCTAACTCCAACACGAATCCCCATGTTGAGTTGGAGGGGCGTACTTCTCCGGCAACTTACATGGGCACGTCAAATAATTTCCTTCCAATCGGACATGACAAAAATTGTGAGTGCCCTAGTGCCCAAGAATGAACATGTGCCAGCGAGAAATATCGCGATAGTCTCGGGCTCATCCAGAACTCCTGCACCCACAAATCCCGCATCCTTCGATGTCGACCTCAAGATCCGAAAACATTTTTTCTGCATCCGGACATGAAGGACAAAAGGTCCGGGCAGACAATGCTGAATGAAATTTGTGGAGATCTGTCTGCGCGTGTCGCGTTTGACCGCAGCTCATTGCATTCCAAGCCTATTTCATGGATACTTCTCTTCCAAAAATGACGCACACCCAGGGAAAGGTGTGTTTGTGTTCACGGAACATTGCCCACACCCCGGGGGAACTGCATGGTTTCCGCAAAGGATAAATGAAGAGAACGTGTAGCCCTGGGAAACATTTGATCGCCGGCCGTGCCTAAGGAGGTCTTTCTTGGGTTGCACTTAGATGGCACCATCTCCCCATTTTACTTTATCCATCCCCTGCCCCAGAATTGCGACATCTACCAAATCACCCTGGTGTAACAGTTTGCTGCCTGTGGGCGGGCCATCCGTTGGTCTAGAATGGCTGCCAAGGGCCCCTTATCCTTCGGGGCGCATGGACGACTTCTTTGGGGAATCAACGGGTTCCGTTTGGGTGACTTTTTTTGGGGGTCCCATTCCTCTTGGGGGGGGGGGGGGGAGCTGACCAATCTAGGGGTTACCCCAACCTTTAAATCCATCCCCACAAAAGGGTACTTGGATCCAAAAAAGCTAAAGAGATCCAACCACAGCAGGTTCCATACGCACCAAGCTACATCAAGAGATCCACATGGACCTTCATGGCCCAGCTCGTAGCCCCAAAAGCCATGCTGCAGATGGGTTTCTCGAGCCCTGCAAACCGCACGGGATCCGAAGCCCATGACTCGAGTCTCAGCCATCCGATAAAGGGCTCCTTGCAAAGATCACGACCGCTCCAGAGAATCCTGATGTATCCTCTACTCGCTTCCTGAGTTGATTGGCCAAAAAAAGTCCAAACTTTTTGTTTACCACCAAAATGGTCTTCCCAAAAAGTATAAAGTCCATGAACTCAGGGAGTGAGTTTAAATCTAAATCAGGGAATCGGCGAGACTCAGAGACCTGCACACTCTCCCCCCCCGATCGATCACCGCCTGGCTGACGTCCAGACATCCTCGGTGTTTTTTGTTTGGACGGCCGGTCCCTTACTCGGTGTCGAAAAACAACCACTCGTGTTCTTCAAGGAAGCGTAGGTCAAAACCCTAGGGTTCCTTGCCCCGAGTTGACAAGGGTGGACCCAAATTGGATATGACAATCCTTAGAAAAACAATGGGGTAAATGTATCAACTGACCTACAGGTGAAACCTGGTGTTCTCTATCCGACGGAATGGAAGCATGGATAGAGAAAATCAGAAAGGAAAGCACAACATGTGCCGCATCCGATAGTTGCCCTTTGAGGCAACCGCAACCAGTGGACCATCTCTACGGGGCAGGAAGGGAACCAGTTATGACTCTGACCCTCTTCATTGACTCCATGGGCCCTCATTTCTTGATATTTGAGATCATGTCAATGCGAGAACCAGTCTTGTTCTCTTGGTTGCCACCGGTGGTTTCTCATGGTTTCAAAACTAGCTTGCTCTTGCTCAATGGTTGATCTCAACAGGGATATCAACCAAAGGAAGCGCCCAAACAATTTTCCCCAAGAAACCCGTCGTGAGTTCCACGTCAGTGGGAGGGTACCTTTTTTGGATAGGGTCAGAAAGGGACCCCGGCCCGTACTGCCCTCTCCCCCCCAATAAAACACAAAAAAGGACTACGGAAATGCGGCAAAAAAGAACTGTGTCTTCCGCCACAAGCCATGACATTTATGCGTCTGCCCGTGAACCAGGGCTTCATACGGGATTCGGTTCACATACACGCAACTCCGGGGGGAAACATGCCCTAAACCAGGGCATCTCTCGCCTTCTCACCCAATGGGCCCTCTCCCATCTCCGAGCCCCAGCCTCAAGACCTTGGTGTCTCGCTCGCCTTTTGCTCGGCCACCGTTTTGGCCGGAGGCAAGGGACAGCCACTTGGGGGGAACTTCTCTCGGGGGGCCGTTGGACTCCTTTCGGATCGGGGCCAAGAGTCTTGCGGCATTCTCGAAGGAAGCTGCTGCGACTAGCACCTCGCGGCGAAGCAACGAACCCACGGATAGTCCACCAACCTATGGATCTTCATCTGCCCTCTTAAACCCATGCGACGTCCTTTTCCCGCATAGAGGGAGTCTAATCGAAACCCATCCAAAAACATGTTTGGTATTCGAGCAGTGTACGCTCCTTCAGCCCTTCCGCCAACGGTTTTGGTAGTAGCTTGGCTGTTTTTGAAGCATTTGCCATTCAAAAGCATTGGCCATTTCTGCGAAAGACATATATGCCTGACATTCACATAATCATGCACTGGAAGGATATACCATTCTCAATCTCGTAACCCAGGCAGGTATGCCCTACTTACCTGGGTTTGCTCTTTCCTCCAAGCAAAAGGGCGATTACGTTTTGACAATGGAACAAACAAATTCTTTCCAAAAGGCCTACGGGGCTAAGTGGTCACAACAAAGGCCAGCCATGCTACTGGGCGGAAGAATACTTGTGGGGACTTCCCTCAACCAAGCATTTAAACTGGCGGCACCAGCGCGCGCTGTTCCGGCAAATGTGTACATCGATTCTAACTCAAGTGATGACCCATTTACAAACCAAGAGATCACCGCCCTCCCACTTACAAACATGGGTGTGTCTTTTTAAGGTTGGACCCCCCCCAAAATGGCTTCGGTTTTCCTGTTGGTTTCCTTTGAAGCCACAAACAAAAACATGGGTACCCCGAAGCAAAAAACCGAGCCACCCTACATTTTTTTCGTGCGTAGGTGCAGAACACCCGGATAGGCCAAAAAAAAGCAAACCCAGAAGACGATGGTGCATCTTAAAGCAACGGCACGGACGCCAGGGCCAAGTAACTAAAGTAGGCATTGACCTCCAACCCCACCAAACCCCCAAAACCCCCAAACCCTCAAACAAAACAATTCGCCCACACTAAACCACCGAAGAAAAACAAGAAGAACAACAACCGAGCCCGCCCCCCCGACAAAAACCTCATCCTAAAGCCCTCGCCTCGATGCGAGTCTCCGCGATGGGGCGCCCAGATTCGTTGGTCTGCAGCGTGGACAGCGACTCCAAGTTCGAGCGCAAGGTATCGGCACAGGACCTCCGTGACACGGTACGCACATACGTGACGTCACGCGTAAGTATTTGGGTAGGGATGGACGGACGGACGGACGGACGGCTATAATGTATATATATATATACACATGCACACATTCATGTTGTATATGGATATGTTCCATAAGGTCAATCGCAAAACGTCAGGGGCGCTGTTTCTTTTTTCAAATGTGTTGATCTGTCGTGGTATGCCCAATACGCTTAAACTCGCTGCTACAACCGAGTCTTCCCTGTCGCGGCTTCTGGGGGATCGAATCTCGCGTTTGTAGGTTTGTCCTGGGCAACGCGAGTTGTGGCTAGCTGCATCTCAGGAGCCCCCTTCCAGGCCATCGTTTATAATGGAAGTGTTTGGATGCTTTGCTTGGTCGGAATACAGAGTCATACCAATATATGTTCACTTCACAATTTCCAACTTCTGCTCAAACCTGCCAATCTGAGACGAACTAGCCAGGAAGTGATTCTCGAAAGAACTCGGCCGCCCAATTTTGTCTGCCTTGTGCTTGCGCCTTTACACCAAGCGTTCGCACCCGCAATTTTGGAAGGTGTGGATTCGAGGTCTAGGGCAAATGAGGGCGGGCAGGAGCTCAACGCTGCTTGAATGCTTCGGGAGCAATCGCAAAAAGTTCAGTATATGGCTGGGGCTGAAATAAATCTGCCACAATGGCACCTTGGTAAATGGAACCAAAGACTAAAACCCGCGTAACCCTAGCTCTTTAATTTTGAGCCACGCCCATATAACCTCAGCTATGAGGGCTTCCAAGACATTCTGCGGATCATGGCCCTGAGCGGGTCACACTTTTTTTTCCCGGACGACCTTGTGCTGAGGCTTGGGCCTTCCCGGGCGAGATCGCCATAGGCAGACGGAGTGTGACTCGCTAGGCACTTATCGCCATCTTTGGATGTTCAACTTACGTGGGGAGCCATCCCGGAACCATCCGGTTTGCAAGTCCTAGCTTTTTCTTGGGCGCTTATAAACAGATCCGAGCCTCCGAAAAGAAACTGGTTGCTGAGGGAAATCGAAGCAAGCCCCAACACAAGGTGCAAGAGGCGAGCCTTTTGGTCCAGCACCCGAATTCCAAACCATCCAAACCATCCAAACCAAACCATCCACACCCTCCAAATCACCAAATTCAGGGTGAAAGTGATGAACGTTCGGGCCTCAAAAGGCGCCGGACCAACTATCCTTGTCCCAATTCCCCAGTTTTTGTTCGGGCCCCGAAGCTCCAACCTCCCACCGATTCCTCGAGAAAAATACATATATATATATATATAATCATATTCCTTCTTTTCCATATTTTCAGAAAAGACTCATACATGCTGCACATCTACATACATATTTTCTATAGTGAATAACATAATAATAAAGAAAAAATAACATATTACAAACACATATATGTACATGATTTATATACCTTTTCTATTATTTGGAATGTATAATCAAGAGACATGAACACATTACAAACCCCGGGCCCCCCGGCTGCAGCACCGCCGCGCGCTCGGAGTGCCGCAGCTGCGCCCACTTGGGCGCCGCCCGCTCCGCCGCGTCCACCGCCGCCTGTCGTCTCGTCAGCGGAAGCCATCGAAAGGCGGCCACGGTTGGCGTGGAAGGGGGGGGAGGAAGCCACGGTTGCCTGGAGTTTCCTTCTGACCCGAATCAAAAATGGGTCCATGACCCCACGACTTTTGGGAAACGACCAACCACTTTTAAAGGCAAAACAAGTGCGAAAACTGGGGCGAAAGGAGAAAGTCTCATCTAGTCTAGAGCCTAATTGAAACCTAGAATGACTCGCCTAAAATAGAAACTAAATCTAAAAAACAGAAATATGAACTGACCTAACACTGATACCTTTTAAGGAGACCTCAAAGGATTCTAAGACCGATCCCAGATTTCCAAAGGGCATCTTGTTTGGTACTCTGGGGAACCCCACTCCAACCAAAAAAAAAACACTCAGCTTATGCCTCCAACCAAAACTCGAATGTTTGATTGGGGTTCATATAGAGTCAATCTAATCATATAAAACAAGTTTAAAACAAGTTCAGAGGAGACTCCGGTTCACGTGCTAAACCGACGATTCGAATCTCGAAACGGTTTCTTGAAACAATTCAATAACATTGTTTGTCTGGGACTGTTTTCTGAACCCTCAAAGCCACCGCTCAAACACACCAATTCCTGTTTTCCAAGAGGCTGTGTTTGGGGATGCTATCCCCACCAAGCCTAATCCGGCCTTTGGTAAGGCTCTCTAAGCGGTTGCAAATGGGTCAGGGCAACAGAGTTTCATATGCACTGGACCGTTCTATATGGCTCGGTCGAGTATTTAAATTGTTATTCTTCTAAGAATCCGGCGGCTCCTACCCCAGCCAAGTTCAGCCATGGTCAATGAGTCATTTTCTTGTGACACATCGAACAGGGCCTGGGACACTTCTCAAGTCCCGCGCATTCCGCCTACACCCGCCGAACGAGTGATGGGAATTTCAGACCCGCGCACTCATCTCCCAAGGTGGAATCCAAGGGCCAAGCGTGTGGTACAAAAAAAACCTGTTCAGACCCTGGCAAAGCGAATGGGTGTGTCTTCATTTGATTGTACCCGCCCCAAGGAAATCCACTCATTTTGAGGGGTCCTCTAAAAAGATGAGCCACCCAAATCACTGTTTGCTGGTTGAAAGGGAAAATCAGAAACACAAACAAGGCACACCTTCAACTTTGGTGCTCAGGGAATGACCTTCTTAGATGCTTTTTTTGCTGAGAGGGCAACGCAGCCTCTGTTCATACCATGCGAACTGAGCCTTGGACATGTCCTGCTTGACGACCGATCCCTGTGCATTTCCATTGGAATAAACACAAATTCTTGTTTGGCAGATGGCTTCAAAGGGACCCGGCAGAAAAGAAACAGTTTCAACCTGCCAGTGGCTAGTTTAGGAGAAAGGGACATGCCTTTGCATTCAAACCCCGCCACCCAAAAAAACACGGAAGCAAGCCACCCCTTCAAACAGGGAAAGAAGGCAGCACCAAACTCAGGGATCGGCGTGGGCTGGTATCCCACAGGCACCACTGGAGGTATTTGTTGACTCCGACGTGTGCCATGTTCGAAACTGCGGGTCATTCAGGGTTTCGACAATGGACTTGATTCATGGAGTCCACGACCGTCCCTACCATGGTCCCTGCGCGTCCCTACAAATTAATACTGATAATAATAGTTAATAATAAAAACAATAAAACAAAACCACGATTGGTCTTGCCAGATGGAACTCGCCTCAATCATGTCTGCGGAGGCGTTGGGCGCAACGCCCACCAAGTTCCTCAGAAAAGCAACATGCGGTCACTTCCGTGGGTAGAGGTGCTTCTGTTTTTTTTTAGTAGGCCAGTTGTTGTTTTTGCCTTTGCTGGGTCCAACATCCAGGCCAGTTTTTGTTGCTTTTGCTGGGTCTGGCAGCATCCACAGCATCGCCTGGACCAGGTTGGGCCGCAGCTGGCTTGGCCAAGTCTGAACTTGTAAGCCTGGCCACTTCAAAAGCATGACTCGGCATCAAAAAGGTCCTGGTTCATTCATGCGGGGGGTCCGATTCTAGAGGCAAACCTATCTCGGTGTTGAACAGAGGGTCTGCGCAAGAATGCCCATCCCCGTTGGTTTCCTTTACAGAAACTCGCAACGATGTGTGCCATTTGGCGCCCGACTATAATTTGCAAGCTATGAACTCCCCAGCTCCAAATTTGTGCAGCCCCCTCAGTTTCAAGCGCATCAAGGTCATGGTTTTTTGGGAACTCTGGCAGTGGACACCTTGGCGGCGAAGGAAAAGGCCTTTTGTTCGTGCCGCAAATGGCCTGCGAGGAGAGCACGTCCTGCATTCGCATTTTGGTCTCCCATGACTCGTCGAGCTGAACCGCACGGCGAGGGGAGTGATTGCCGCTCAAGGCACCGTCACAAAACCGGAGCATGGCTCCCGGGCGAACATTGCAGACGGTAAAACACCAGGTCTTTTTGTTGTTGGTACCCCTTTTAAAAGGTGTGCACTAAAATCCCCTGTTTCACCTGGTGGTTCCACAAAAACCTCAAGCTGAAGCTGCTCAAACAAACAAAAAGGGAGACCAAAAGGAAAACCACCATGTTGCGCCTGTTGGGGGGGATCCCTAAAGAAAAACCACTCCCACAAAGAAGTCTCCCGAAGAGTTTGGCCGTCTAAGGCCTTACCCCGGACTCGCACACGAAGCTGCACACACCGAATGGGAAGCAACAGGAACACAAAGGGATTGCAACAGGAACCATAGGAAGCCAACCGGAGACCAAGTTCCCACCATGTAGCACATGGCTTCCAAGCGCATAGGGCGTACATCACTAGACTGATTCGGGCTGTGGGGAACTTCACCTCCTTTAAGTCGTCATACCAAAAACAAATCCGCGATATCCTTCAGACGAAACTATCATGTACTAATTCGGAGCCAGAAGGGGAGGCATTAACACCGCGTAGCGACTATTAGCGATGTTTGCCTTCGGCCTTTTTTGGGAGTCGCAAAGAGATGCAAAGAGGAAGAGCAGGTAGTTCTATGGTGATACTATCCTAACTCTATTTGGGTGTTTCTAAAAATATATGTCCCCTAACTGGTTGTGCTCTTTGGGTGTCCTTCAAATACCAAAAGAGGGTCCACTATTTTGAGAAGCCCAGCTGCAAGGAAAAGGTGGGAGGATGGGCCGGCGTTTGGGTGGGGTGGGGTGGGGTGGGGCTGAGTGGGTGCCGTCATTCAGTAGGTCCAAAACCCAAGCGAAGGACTTTCAGATTTCAATTTGGGGTCGTTGCTCGTTTTACTCCCGAACGGGTGGACTTGATCTTCATGAGGCAGGAAGCGCACCGTCTAGAAATTGCTTCCCGAACCGTACCAGTGGAGGCTGGAGGGACACGGTTTTCGGGTCTGAAACCAAAGGAGACTTCGAAGAGAATCCGGAAAACAGAAGAAGAAGTTAACAACTGTGTTGAACTGCGTGATTGGCTTGAACTCAAATACCTGTGACTAAGATCACCCAGTCGCAATCCCTAGTTGCCCAACATAGACCTCAAACGCCCAGCCAAAACCTTGAGCGACGAGGGGGGGGGAGGTAGAAGCAATACCAGCAGAACGAGCACACTGGCATCCCAACAAAAAAACTTGTCAATGAGAAACTCCAGGAGGCTTCGAACAGAATCCAAGGAAAAGGCTTCAACAACTCTGTTGAATTCCGTGATTGGACTGAACTCAAAAATTACCCCCAAAAAAAACAAAAGAGCCAAATGCACTCGATTCGCTTTGGTTGCAAGTGAGCAGCATAATCTTAAAAATAATAAATAAATTTCATCAGATTGTGTGTCATTGTCATATTTAGTCAACTCTCTTTTTGTTAGAGAAAAAACACTATATAACAAACCCACCCACCCACCCACCCACCCACCCACCCACCCACCCACCCACCCACCCACCCACCCACCCACCCACCCACCCACCCACCCCCACCCACCCACCCACCCACCCACCCACCCACCCACCCACCCACCCACCCACCCACCCACCCACCCACCCACCCACCCACCCACCCACCCACCCACCCACCCACCCACCCACCCACCCACCCACCCACCCACCCACCGTTGTTGTTCTTTTTTTTGGTAGTTGTTTCCTGGAACAAACAGAAAGAACAGCAACAACGAAAACATGCACACCCACAGACAACTAGCGTGCTTCTTTGTTTTTTTTCCCCTCGAACAAACGAACAAAAAACCACAAAGAACACGTGTTCGTTCGGAGACCCCGTCCCCCCTGGCTCTCCAAGCCAAGAGGCCCCGTGGCCGGCGAGGTCACCCGGAAGCTCTTGGGCGGGATCACGATGCGACCTTGCAACCCAAACCGCCCGCTGAAGTTTGGGGTGGCTGGGACCGAAACGAAAAAAGCAAATAAGGGGTCTGGCAGGATGAGAAAGTCAAGCCCATCCCCAGAGTAAGGCAGATTGAGGGCGTATATATTTCTATATAATATACACATAAGCTCATTAGCAATCCAAATCCCAGCCATTGCACTGGGTACAAGCAGGGCTGCAGCGTCGTTCTCCCGATAAAACTGTGGTTTGCAACAATGGTTGCAAAAAACAAAAAAGCGTTTGTTGCGTGGTTGTTGTTAAAACGGAAATAGGCATTGTGTGGCCCGCTGTTTCATGGAGCACCCAACAGGTGGCCAAACTGGCCTTGACAACCGAATGCCATGCCCCAATTCCCCAGCACCCTATGATGCAATAGATGTTGTCAAACCGACACCGCAAAGATCCCTTCTTTCACGTTGAGGCCTTGTTTGGCATTTCCCCAAACGCCTTTCCCCTGGGCTTCAAGCAATGAAAACGGTAGTTGAGTTCATGTAACCGTTGTTTACCTAAGGAAATAACACTCCAAATTCGATCCCCGGCCAAGATTTTCATGGGGGAGGATTTGGATACCCGCTCCATGGACTCCATGGCTTCATTCCAACCCCACGCTCATAAACCGCTTGCTACGACCGAAACTAGCTCAAACCACGGCAGAAACCAACGCAAAGACCTGGGACGCAATCAGAAAACCCAAAGCAAACCAAAGCAACCCAAATAAAATCAAGCCAAGGAACCAAGCAAAACAACATATATGTATATATGTATGTATATATACTTCTTAGAGGCTCGCTTGTGTTTGAACAGGTCAAAAAATATACCCTGCACAACACGCTCTAGTTCGTGTAGCCATTTGCCTGACGATTTCTTGAACAAAGGACTCATCTCTCCTTTCACCTGGATTGGGTCGAAGAAGCCGGCTTCAACTGCTGCGCTACTGTCTTCCCAAGAACTAATGTCCGGATGAACCCATCTTAGATGGGGGGCTCCCTCCAAAAAGTAGTCTGAATCCCCAAAAAGGGGTAGCTCCCAGATGAAACTCCGAGGAGTTCCACCTGGATCCGTCACAAAGCTTCGGGAACTCCTTCGACCCAAAGGCCTTTCCTCGCTTATCGATCAAACGGACTGGCCAAAGAGAAGTCCGGGAAAGTCGAAAAAGTCCAGGAATTGAGGGAGTGAGCTTCTTTTCGGCCCAACCGAGAGGCAACGAGAGAAGGCCCAACAAAATCGCACTTGGTTGCCACTCAAATGGGTGCGGTTGCTGGTTTGAGGGCTCTCTTTTTGGGCTTTGTAAAAGAAAACGCCAAAGAGACCCACCATTTTGGGGGTCCTCTATGTTTGATCACACACGCAACTTGTCTTCCAAAGTGACGCAAGTCCACGAACTGGCGTTGAAAAAAACCGTTGCAACCAAGTGGCCGTCGATCAGCAAGGGAGCCCTTTTGCTGAGCGGCACATTGTCCTATCGCGCAGGCCGGGAAGGCTGTGTACTCAGTCCGCTGAGGGGAAATGGGAAGGGGGGAAGGAAGGGCTGAGGGGGACATCCTGAAGGTCTTTGTATGTGTCGCATCCGTCTTTCCAAGAGAGTTGTTCAAGGATTGATACTGCAACACGTGTTTATGCTCCTCTTCAATCCAAGGGGCAGGATGCCGCTACTGTATCACTCAATGCGGGAGATCAAAGTTAACAGACTTTCGATACATATCTACCAACCTCTTTTTGTGGGCCATCGTCCTGGCTCTCTTGTAGAAAATCCACACCAGGACTGCTTCAAAACCACGTTAAGAAGTCATGCCAAACCCAAGTAAAGAGGTCGTTTGACCATGGCACACAGTGGAACTACGCTAACCTCGAACCACCAAAACAGGTCCCCCATCTAGCCAAGGGCAGAAATCAGCATGCTGGCGTTCTTGGAAACATTTCGGCATCTGGGGAATCTGGGGTGATCACAGAAGAGGAGGACCGCACGCCATTGGACCTGCAACCTGAAGTGATTATGCTAAGTCTTCCGAACCCCAACCAGGGTGAGCCACTTGGTCAATAGCCTTCCGAACATCCGAGTGATTAAATTTTGCACTGCACAGCCGGCCATCTTGAAGTGTGGCTTCGCCAACCACGTACAAACGAAAAAAAAAAAAAAAAGGAAGACCAATGAGTTGTGGGCAATGACTTGCTGGCTACGAGCAGGGAATCAGAGAAGGAATGACCTCGAACAACACCATCTGACTGGTGGCTTTCCTTTCAGGGAATCCCCTTCCGGTTCATTCCCCCCAAACCCGGTCTCAGGTCTCAGTCAAAGTGTGTTGGCTTGCAGCCACTCACGGGAAACAACTCCTTCCATAGGTAACTCCGCCCGCCCAGAAGGGGCTTTTGGGTCGGCGCAA